TACTTGGTAACGCTTGGTAATCCTACTGATTGTGACTCAGAGAACTTCTATCCAAGTACACTTTTGTTTACTACAAAATCTCTTTCTGGCCTTCAACTTTGATTTTAGGCCTACCTCTCAGGCAGCAAAAACTAAAGATCCCCCCCCCCTTTCAAAATTTCCAGATATGTTACCTCTTTATCCAGAATGCAGTTTTAGATAAGCATATGGAGCAGAGGTCCATCAGTGGCTATTAGCCACAAGGTATAGATAGGGACTCTGGGGCAAGTGATGCTCTGTCATCTTGGTGCTTGGGGGGGGGGGTCAACAGTGGGATGGCTTCTAATGTCCTGGCCCCACTGCTGGACCTCCTGATGGCACCTGGTATTTCTGGCCACTGTGTGACACAGAGTGTTGGACTGGATGGGCCTTTGGCCTGATCCAACATTGGCATCTCTTATGTTCTTAAAGTCACCCTGGGTTATCAGAAAGTGGTGTTGGCGATACTCTGTCAAGAAGTAGACAATGCTGCCACCTGGAGGCCAAGAGGGCAGTGCTTCATGATGGCGCAAGACCCTTCATTGCCTATGGTCAGTTCCAAGTTCTCCGCCAAGGCATTATTCTACTTTCAATTTATCCCTGGCCAACATCTTTCTTTGTTCAAGAACAGGTGACAAGGAAAAAGGGCCCCACTACAGCTGCAGTGTTTTGTTGATGACTTTTCAGTTAGAGGCTCATTTCTAACACAAATCCTTATCCCTCAGACTAGCCCTATCCCTCATAAGGCTGCTTGGGAAGCAGCTCATCCTAGAACACTTACAGCACAGCTCCATTGCATATTTACTTTAGGGTAAGTCCTAGTCAGTTCAATAGTATCTACACTCAGGGAAGCAGGCCCTTGATTGCACCTGTATAACCCTTTTAAATAGGTTTACTCAGAGCAGCTCTACTGTGCTCAGTGGACTTTCACGTCTGTATTAATTTTACTACAGGTAAACAGTGCAGTCTCACGAAGTTGCCCTTTTAAGTCCATTGACATCAGTACTGAGTTTCAATTGGGTAACTCTGCTTAGGCCCCTGCCACACGGGGGAGAAAATGTGTGGCCAAAGTGCGGCTTTTGGAAGCCGCACCAAAATAGACACGCCGCGGCGGGATCACATGGATCCCCTGAGCCGCGGCGCCGTTGCTCCCCGGCACGATCAGATGCCGGGGAGGAAGCCACGGTCAGAGACCGAGGCAGCCAGTTGTGCATGCGTGTGCATGTGCAGTTCGGCCAGGAGCCGGGGATGCGCCAGTAGAAGGACGCGCCGGCGATCCCAAGGTCGAGCTTGCCGCGACCGTTTAAGACCACCTCTGTCGGTGGTTCTTTTTTGCTGCGGGTTTTCAGGGGTAGGGGCGGATCGGGGACGGGTGCGCGCCACTTCCCAGATGTTGCGGTGAGATCGCACCCATTTGCTGTGACCTCGATCCGTCCCTCTCCTGGGCCAAAACCCTCCGTGTGACCGGGACCTTAGAAAGGCACTGTTAGGCTATCATTCTAGAGGCATTTTCTTGAAATAATGGATTTGCTTCTGAGCAAGCTGTTTAGGACTCCACTCTTTCTTAGTAGAGAACACTGTAGACATCATTTACATACCCAATTAGGGTTGCCAGACCCCATCTCCAGGTCTGTGCAGGGGTTCCAGCCCGCTGCCAGCCAGTTGGTTGGTGGGGGAAGCCCCACCCCCAAACAGGCACGTGTCACAATGATGTCACCCAGAAGTGATATCATTGTGTTGGGGATGATGGGAGGGAGTGATGCTCTAGATCCCGGAGGAGAGGCAGGATCCCCCCACTGGCAGCCAGGTAGAATCTGGCAACCCTATACCCAACCAAGCTATCTGGAAGCATCTCAGACTGTAGGACACAGAAGCTGGAGCAGGGGATGGGGTGGGGTGGGGTGGGGTGGAGGGTGTTACAGATGCCCATCCTCCTTGGACCATCCTGCTTCAGAGAACTTTTAGCATTTGGGTAGAATAGTTATTGCTCAGTAAGCCAGAAAGAAGCACTCGACAACACGGTACATATTTATTTAGACCAACAGCTTGTATTTTAGACTGGCTACTGTAAAGGTTTTTTCCCATATTAAAAAGCTGGGGTGGGGGGGAGGATTGAGTAGGGCTTAATATGCAACTGAGACCCCAAAGTGATAAAATTGACCACCACCATCAGTAAGAAGTCAGCTTTTCACAGAAAGGGCAGATGAACACATAAGTAAACCCCATGACAAAATACCAATTAGTTTTAAGACCTGGGAAATCTTTTCCACCTGTAATGCAGAACTCAGTACTGGTAGGGAGTATATTGCATGCGTCTATGGGGGAAGGTGCATACCTCTTTCACCTGTATTCTAGCATTTTTAAATACTGTGCAAATTAGGGTTGCTGGCTTTGGGTTGGGAAATACCTGGAGATTTGGGGTGGTGGTGGAGGTTGGAGAGAGTGGGGTTCAGGGAGGGGAGGGACCTCAGGAAAGTATCATGCCACAGAGTCCACCCTCCTAAGAAGCTATTTCCTCCAGGGGAACTGATCTTTATTGTCTGGAGATCAGTTGTAATAGCAGAAGATCTCCAGGCCCCACCTGGAGGCTGGCAACCCTAGTGCATATGCATATACACTTAGCATAATAATATCCATTTCGTTATTTACCTTTTTTAAAAAAAGCATTCTGTCCTCAGACTTCCCCCTTTTGCCACACTCAAAAACTGCTCAGCAAGACCCCAATCAGCAACGTGCATTTACTTATCCCCCCCCCCCAACTCAGCTTTTATAGGGCTCAAAATCCATGAAAGAAGCTTTCAGGTGGGCTGGCTTCGTAAAAGCCAAAATGGCAATCGTATGTCAGTAGGGTGGTTAGTTCTTTTCGCGGGCGGCAGGGTGTGGCCTAACTGCGTTTGGGGTCCTTGTATGGTTGTATAACTGGCCGCCAAGCAGGGCCGGGAGGGGATTTTTTTTGCTGGGAATCTAGAGAGATGCAAAGCTATAACCATGACAAAGAATGCTGCTGTTATTGTCTCCCGAAATTGTATGTTAGGATGCATGAGGTATAGCAAATCTTACAAATATTGTACTGCTAGGCCCTGACCCCCGACTCTGCTGCCAGCAGAAATTCAACAGGTAATGCTGCATTTCCCAGCACTGGCTCAGTTCTACGCAGGGTAAAGCTTCACCTGTTGAATTTCTCCTTTAGGCAGGCACTTGTAAGAACAGGGTAATGTCTATAAGCATTTCCCATTTCTCTTAGAGGGGTGTGTGGGGGAGAAGTACAGATTTCTGCGGCCATAAGAAGTTTAAAGACACAAAACTACTGCCTGGAAGAATGCCAAGATGCCAATTTAACTCTGGAGCAATGTAGGAAACTAGTGATTACCCTAAAAATTAATAATAGAAGGGAAGGCTCCTTAGATTACTCTGTGCAGAATAATGACATGTATTTCAACAGAAATGTGGTGCATTATTTTGGGGTGTTCTTTTTTTAAAGTAAAGTTCTTATTATGGGGAAAAAATAAAGGCCAGCATATGCTTTTGCCTCTGATACCCAAGCGACCGCGGCAGGACTCGAACCTGCAATCTTCTGATCCGAAGTCAGACGCCTTATCCATTAGGCCACGCGGCCCGTATACATACGCAGCTCCACTACCACTATAGGAAGTTGAAGTGCGGCGCCGGAGCCATTCAGGAAGATACCATCTTTCTTGGGGAGAGGACAATCGTGTAGCCGAAACAGTAGCCGAAGCGCTCTGGCTCAGGTTGAGAGCAACTTCTTTTTGTTACTCGGGCGGCAGTTCTTCGGTTACAGTCTCAGGCCTTGGAGCTTTAGAGCGCCGCAAAGGGAAGGGTTTCCTTTCCGTGTTTCTTTGCTCATACCCTCATCGGACGAGTTCATTGTTGAGGCCACCAGAAAGAGGCTCGAATGAGAGGGGGAGGAGCGGAACGGCGGCCGAGGGGGAGTTCCGGTCGGGGTTCTCAGGCAGGAAGAGGGGCGCGCGGTGGAAGAAGCAGGAAGAGTTGAAGTCAGTGAGGGGTGTGTGTGTGTGTAGAAGGAGTTGGCCTATTTTCGAGGGAGGGGGAGAGGACGCAGTTTGTTGACACCCTTCGGGGGGGGGGCAGTTGGATAAAAACTAATTTATTTGAGGGGAAGAATATTCGTCAAAAAAAGGGGAGAGTTGGGTGAGGAGGGTAGCAACCAATGTTCCCTCTAAGCTGTGGAGTCTTGTGAGCAGAAATCCTACTTTGGGAGCTACCGGCATTAAAGTTGTGAGCGAGCCATTTGGCTGCTGCATAAATTAGTTTGCTCTGGAGTCCTCCTTCCTGAGCGAAGGCAAAAACGTGTGAGCCGGAGGCTAAAAAACTGTGAGCCAGCTCACACCAACTCAGCTTAGAGGGAACACTGGTAGCAACCGCTGGTTTCTCTGGAGAGGGAGAAAGAAGGGGAGCCAAATAAAGCGCGCGTGGGGGGGGAGATTGTCAAGGGGGGGGGGTCTGAACAGCCCGGCTTCTTGGGGTGGGAGCAGTAAGCCCTGACTTCTCTGGGAAAAAACAAGAAGAGAAAGGCAAGTTTTGCGTCTGGGCGTGAGGGGATTTGACTGAACTCTAGGAGTTCTGTTGTGTACAGCAAATCAGCCCTCCTGCTACAATCCTGATGCTGGTGCTTAAAACCTGAAAAAAAACCCAAAACCCTTTTCTTCACGGCTGAGCCTGTATAAGGAAAGTGTCTGTATTTTAAGAAAAACAAATAAATGGCAGGATGCAGTTATTGATGTATCTTACAGTCTCTAGTCCTAGATCTTGAACGGGTGAGAGAAGGAGCAGCACCTGTTATTTTGAGATACAAGAGCACAGCATACTGAACCTCAGTTCTGTTGTACACTGCTTGTTTTCTGACAGATCTGAGCCAGTCAGTAAATCAGACTCTTGTGCGGTCTCTGGGCTGATGTATCCTGGTGAAGATGAAAAGCTTGGTACGGAGAACGTCACTAGTAGGTATGTTCACATCACGGATACCTCTGAGATGGTCTTCAGGTTCCTCTACCAGCCACCTGCTGAAGGAGGAGTTGGTGCAGGATACTGGTATGGCCTCGGACCAGCAGCGCATGAACCCGCTTGGGATCCAGATGCTCTCCAAGGGCCTTCATGAACAGATTTTCCGAGGTGCTCAGATGCATTACTCAGAGGAAGACACCCAGAAAAGTGTGGAACACCTGCAGAGGCATGACCTGTGGAGAAAAGAGATCTCCACTGTTCCAGATGTGGAGCTGCAGCTGCCCCAGATATATGGGGCCAACCTTGATGAACACTTCCGTATTTTGGCGCAGAAGCAGAACCTCCCGTATTTGGAGGCTGCTAAGGAACTTCTACAGAGTGAGATCTCCCCAATGCCTCAGGAGTGGGCTTGGGCAGTTGGATGGACAAGATATGGACCCAATGGGGAGATGAAAACAGTGGATTTCCCAGATGAGCGAGCATTGGTGTTTGATGTGGAGGTGTGCATGGAGGAAGGACATTGCCCCACACTCGCAGTGGCTGTTTCCCCAAGTGCCTGGTAAGATGCAAGGTTGGGCAAAATTCTTCTGCCTAAGAGTGGTAATATGGTCAATGCCCTTGTTCTTCATCATCTTTTCTCCCTCAGCCCCAGAATCCTTCCTCAGCCATCATCTTACACCTTTCGGCTTGCAGGGGCCACAATCTTTTCCAAGCTCCAGTCAGGGGCTTCCTGCTTTAGGACCATATGCACCATCTCACCATCCCTTCCTTTTTGATTCCAGCACAGCAGTAGGAAGGGAAAATTTCCTACCTTGGAATTTCCTGGGCCATTGTGCAAAACCAAAAGGCTGAGCGGCAGGACCCCCCATGGGCATTTGATGTGTCTTGAGGGCTTTATGTGGCTTTCCATTATTTGTGCTAAGCTCTCTATTGATCTACAGAATGCCCAGCCTGGCCAATAGGTTACTGAGGCATCAGTGTGGACTGTGCACAGGTGCTGTTGGGCTTGTTGAAACTGAGTGCATTTAACCCTCTTTCTTTCAGGAGGGTCTGTCATGCCTTAGGTAGGTCTTTCTTTTTCTTTTTTCTTTGGGTTGCTTTTCAAGTCTTACTACATTGTTTATTCAATGTTTTATGCTGTTTGATTGCATTGTGTTCCACCTCCCCCAATTTGTAATCTGCCTCGAGTCTGAGCAAGAAAGACAGGCTATAAATGAAGTGAATAAAATGATTTACTTGATTTATACTTTGCCTTTCTCCCTAGTGAGGACCCAAAGCAGCTTATATCATTTTCCTCTTCTCCGTTTAACCTCTCACCAGCCCCATGAGGTAGGTTAGATTGAGAGTATGTGACTGTCCCAGGGTCACCCAGCAAGCTTCATGACCAAGTGTGGATTTGAACCAAGGGCTCTGAGATTTTAACCTGACATTCTAGCCACTATACAACACTGGCATTGGAAACACACACACACCCATGCCTACATGCTGAAACCACAGGAGGGAGGAGAAGGGTGCATCTGTATTGCATCTTATGAAGGCTGCTTTCCCCTATTTTCTACGACTGTTCAGGAATCATAAGTAGATTTTGAATCACAATTTAGCCACCCTTGGTCTGCAGGCATACAATATAAGTTTAATTTTTAGAAAATCTTAAATATCTATATCCTTGGTGTCTTTTGAACAGTTTCCAAGGCCACTATTATAGCTGTATTATAGTTACTCATATGCCTGGGGTCTCTGTATGGTTAGCCATTCATATGGATATGACCACTTTTAAGTATGTCAGTGCAACTGACCAGTAAAGGGATTTGGTGTTCTAATGAAAATATAGAGCAGGGGTGTCAAACATGTGGCCTAGGGGCCTGATTAGACCCCCGGAGGGCTTCTATCAGGCCCTCAGTGGAACTGGCTGTCTTCTGCTTCTTCCAGTTCTGCTGCTGCTGCGTCATTGTAGGTTTGCAGCTTACAGCTTACCTGAACAGCATACTCAAGATTGCAACAGCACAGACATTTTGATGCAACAATTCAGAGCCAGAGGTGTCAGTTATCAGACACTGTTAAATAGACAAAATATTGCAAGAGTGCTAATGTTTTAAGCATGTTTTTATTTTAAGTAAAAAAAACCCAATCCTCTGTGTTTGTGTCCTTTATCAATTTTATATCTCTGCTACCTGGCATTACATTTTATGACACACATGGCCCGGCCTGACAAGGTCTCATTTATGTCATATCCGGCCCTCATGAGTTTAACACCCCTGGTCTAGAGACAGGAGTGCACACAGCAGGATACTTGGCATATATGGTCAGGAAGACCTTCTGCTGAATCTAGTGGAACTTCCTTGTTTGCAGATTTTAGGCCCACACCCTTGAAATATGGAGGCTGACTGAGATGATGTGTGGTTGCTTCAGGATGGTCCACATTTCATGTAGATTTAGTGCAAAGTTTCCTATTTCTAGCATTTTTAATGCTTCTGTTTTGAGTCTTGGTGCTTCCTTATATGCTGGGAAGGACACTTTAGTCCTCTGGACTTGTGAGTCATTGAATGCTGTTGCCTGTGCTTTCCAGGTACTCCTGGTGCAGCAAGCGGCTGTTAGAGCAGAGGTATACCTGGTCCAGCCAGCTGACCTTGTCAGACCTCATCCCCCTCGAATCGGGCAGCAACTGCCCCAAGCAGGACTGGCAGGAGAAACTCGTGGTGGGTCACAATGTCTCCTTTGACCGAGCATACATCAAAGAGCAGTACCTGACAGAGGTGAGAATCATTCCAGTATGAGCTTCTATGAGTCACAGCCCACTTGTTGTCTTGCTGCATATAGTTCTTTGCATTGGTGAGTTGGTAGAGCAGCAGTTCTTTTGTTCCTTTGAAAACAACTGTATATTTCAGGGCTCTCGCATGCGTTTCCTGGACACTATGAGTATGCACATGGCTATCTCAGGCTTGTCAGGATTCCAGCGCAGCCTTTGGATGGCAGCAAAGCATGGCAAGAGGAAAGGGCAGCAACAAGTGCAAGAGCACATCAAGAAGATGCGGAAAAAAACTGATGGCCCTGTGGTGAGTTGGAGAAGCGGTGAGGAGTTGCATGCTAACCCTTGCAGTCCTTGACTGGGTGTCACCTGCAATGCCATCACCTCCATCCATCACCAGTTCATGTCCATGGGGCTTGAAAGGGGGCAGTGCCAGATAGAAGCCAGTGTTTTCCAGCATGTAACAGCAGTGAGACTGAGGGCAGAAATATTTTTTCCCTGCATAGAGTTGAAATAGGTTCAAAAGTAGGATCGGGGCTTGGAGCATGCTTGCTCATTCTGCTTTGCATCTGCTGAACAAGATTTGTAGATCTTTGTATTATTTTGGAAAATTTCGATAGTGTGCTCAGATCCTGGTTTGTCAGTTTAGATGTCACAGCAAACTATGATTTCTCTGCCTTTCTTCCTGCTTGAAGGCAACATCAGCATGTAGGGGACAGACAGGGAAACAGAGGGAACCTGCATGGCTGAGGTTCATGCCCAGCTTCCTCATCTAGCGTCAAACCATGATTTAGCATATATCTGTACTGAGCCCCACTCTTTCAGTATGAATCCCCCATCTATAACTTGGGAATGAGAATGATGCTGCTCAGTGGATTGATGTGAGAATGGAATGATGGTTGAAATATATTTCACACAATTATAGTTATGTATGTAATAGCTGTTGTTTAATATTCTCTCGTGTGAGAAGAATATGGAGAGAGGCAGGTACAAATGCCCCTTTAATGAATTGATGTTTTATCCGCTAGGAGTAAACACTGTACACACTGAAAAATTTATAGGAGAGCTGGGACTGTGACATAATTGCAAAATTTAATATTCTAATGTGCACCTTTGCTTCTTATCTACTACTGAAGCTGTAAAACTAAGCAGAGATTTAAGGAGTGGTTGTCATGATTTGAAGCTCACCAGTGGTCCTCTGGAACCCTGACAGCTATTTGTTTCTCCAGGAAAGAGAGCCATAAAATGCACCAAGGGGTGGGGCGGGAGCAGAGTTGTGTTTCTGCAGAGAGAGAACCATTTGCTCTACCTGCCAGGAAGGGCAAGATGGGTAGCTGTTGTAAATCATGATCTGGCTATTGAGGTGTGCGGGACATGTGCCTTGAGTTGATTGGGAGTTGACCTTCTCTTGTTGGGGACGGGGGTGAGGTTTTGACAGTGGTGTGACCTGGTGATCTTCATGGATGGGGGAAAGATATTGTTTTAGCAAAAGGACTCTGAATTGACATAAAGGGAAAGAAGTGGGAGAGAACAAATAAGAATAAAGTTTTTTGATCTGTGGACTAGTTGCCCATTCTTTTGATGTCTTATCACTTTGCAGATTGCCTCTTGGGACTGGGTGGATATTAGCAGCATCAACAACCTAGTAGATGTGCATGCCCTCTATGTAGGGGGCCAGCCATTGGAGAAAGAGGCCCGGGAACTTTTTGTGAAGGGAAGCATGAATGATATCAGGAACAATTTCCAGGTAAGGAGGGAATCTATTGAACGAGATCTTTCAACAGAAGAAACTGAGAAGCAGAACATGGGTTTTGTGTGTACAATGTCGTGGGGTCAGTCCCTGCCACCTCCAGTTGAAGCAAGGGGTTAACAGGGCTAGGAGGGCTAGGAGGGACTGCTACATTCAGTCTGGAAGTTGCTGCCAATCAGAGGAGATAATGCTGGAATAGTTGGATTAACAGTTGTGCCTAGGTATGAAGGCTGTATGAGGAACTGACTTATAATTTACCTTCTCTTTGCTTCTCCTTTCCCCAAAGGATCTGATGAGATACTGTGCTCTTGATGTTCAAGCTACACATGAGGTATTCCAGGAGCAGCTTCCACTCTTCATGAAAAGGTGAGATGTTGGGGCACGGTCATACTGACAACACCCCCAGAACTTAACGAGATCTATAAAGGGGAAGAGTCTCACCTGGGTATTATTATTTATAAATATTTGTACGCTGCTTTTCTTCTTGACACACAGTGGCTTAAAGGTAATACTTAAAATATTACAGAGATTAAAACTGGGGGGGGGATCCAATTTACCCCCTCCCCCGCCTTAAAAATGTCTGCTCATACCCATCAAAAGCCCTGGCAGACAACTGAGTCTTGCAGCACCTCCTGAAGATGTCTAATGTGTTGGTGGGGTTCCTCTTGCCTCCTCAGGGAGCCCATTCCACATACTGAGAGATGTGATGGAAAAGGCCTGTTCTCTGATTGATACTAGGCAGGCCGCATGAAGGGGTGGAGCAGCCAGCAGGTGGCAGCCTGCAGACCGTATTTGGCTCATTTGGCAGGAGATGCTCCTTCAGATATGGGGGATCCAGGCCGTGAAGGCTTTAAAGGTCACAGCCAGCACCATGAACTGAGTTGGGGAACACACTGGCAGCCAATGTAACTGTTTCAAAATTGGCAAATTCTGGCCAAATTGGTAAATTCTGGACGAGCTACAGTTTCTGGATTGTTGACCAGGGCAGCCCAATACAAAAACCATTACAGCAATCCAGCTGCAGTTATACAAAAATATGGATTGTGAGTAGCCCTTCTCTATAAGATATCATATTTTATGAGATTCCTGGCCATCCTAGAAAAAGCAATGCTGTGAGAAAGGCAAGCTGCTGCCAGTTTCTCAAACACAAAACCTAAGCCCTGTCCTGGTCTCAGTCTTGCGCGTACACGCTCTCTCTCTCTCCATTATTTAGATATAGGTAGAATCAAATCTAGTTTGATGTGACAGCAAAATGTTGCTGCAGGGGCACTGCCACAAATCCTGCAAGAAAGAAGCAGGGAGCAATGAGCTAGTGCAGATGTGATGCCAAACCATGGCTCAGTAACATTGGAGCAAGTCTTGGGCTCACATGCTCCCTCCTCCCCTTCCCATACTCCAGTTCCCTCCCATCAGAATCCGCAGACGGTGGCTTGCATTTGTTCTCCACGTCAGGACTGGGAACCCAGGTTCAGGTGTAATATGACAGTGACGGAATCATAACAATCAAGGGGAGGAAGAAGGCACCAGGCAGGTTTGAGTCTTGTGAACGTAACACCAAACCATGACTTGGCATTATGTGTGAACGGAACCAGCATCTCCAAAAGGAAGTGATGCATGTGCCTGTAGTTATCACTCTGTGGCTGCTCTTCAGAATGCCTGTTTTGAGAGTGGTTTTCTGTTGTGCCAGCTGCATATTTTCTCTTCATAGAAGGGAGTCTGTGACCCCCCCCCCCATTACACTGCTCAAATGAATAGTTTTTATCATCTTTCCTAGAACAGCTTGATGAGAAAATCCTTAGCTTAATTATTTTCCCTTTTTTGTTCATGTTTTTATCTAGTCATGAATAAGAAGCATGGCCAGAAAAATAATTCACTGGTTGACCAATGAGTCTTGCAAAAGTAAGGCCAAGAATTCTAGGAGTTGCATCCTAGCAGATAATTCAGTTTCAGCAAAAGACATGTAGTAATGGCAGGCCGGTCACATGTGTGAGAAAGAGCTTGTATATCGCACGGAACTCGTGGGGAATGGCATGCAGGTCAGGGCCTGTGGGAACCCTGGCCATGTGTCACTCATCCTCAGGAATGGTTTTGCTCTCACTGCAACAGTGATTCCAGGACACAGGAATGACTGGCAAAAAATTCACTAATACCAGAGAGGGCAGGGGCTGTGGCTGAGCAGAAGAGTCTTTGGTCTGCATGCAGAAGATCCCAGGTTCTATCCCTGGTGTCCCCAGTTAAAAAGGTCTAGGCAGTAGGTGGTGTGCAAACCTCTACTTGACACCCTGGAGAACTGCTGCCAGTTTGAATAGACAATACTGACCTTGATGGACTGATAGTCTGATTCAGTATAAGTGTCAGCAAGCTGCCATGGAGTTCTGTGTAACATTGTATGCTTCTAGCTTGAGTTCATTCCCCCCCCCTCCCGTGATGCCAGCTATGTCTCCCTGTTGCTTCTGCTGCGCTCATTAGGTAAATTCCTTTCTCTGTATGTTAGGACTGCTTTGAAACTTAGATAATGCCCAAGGTCAACTGCTGGGGGTTGGAAGGAGTTTTGGAGTTGCTTTGATTAGTATGTGCTAGAGCTTGTGAATGGAATTAATGTTTATGTTTAAGACCGTTTGTTCCCAGGGGTTTGGGCGCCTGTTTTACAAGCTTTCCCACACGCGGGAAAATAACCCATTGGCCTCGGCCTGGTATGATTTTGTTTATTACCTTGTACCCCAGAGGTAGTCTCCATTCTTAACAATCCTTGTGTTCCTGTTTTCACCATCGCTTTAATAAATGCTACTTTGCTACAAACGTGGATTTATTTGAATGCCTGGAGAATCGGACAATAAGGCAGTTTCATGTGTGAGAAAATAAAGTGGTCCATTCAAGGCCACCCTTCGTATTACTGTGATGAACTGACCCACTAAGAATCAAGCCTGTTCCTATCTATATATCTGGGGGGACTCTGTTTGAATGTTTTGTTTCTTAGTCATGCTCTGTGGGAAGGGTTTTTAGCAACGGCTTATCTGTTAAGATTGGCAAATATCTAAAGTTTATGTAACCATGTCCAGTTGCTGCAAGCCAAGTGGTTTCTATGTTGTGATTGGCCCTCTTTTTCCTTTTGTTTCAGGTGTCCCCATCCTGTGACATTTGCAGGGATGCTAGAAATGGGGGTCTGTTACCTCCCTGTCAATCAGAACTGGGAGAGATACCTGGATGAAGCACAAGCCACATATGAGGAACTGCAGAAGGAGATGAAGAAGTCCTTGATGAACCTGGCTGACGATGCCTGCCAGCTGCTTCATGAAGAGAGGTAGTGGCATTAATGTTGGAGGGGCAGAATATTGCATGGTGCCCAGGCTCGTAGCTAATGTGGGGCCTATGGGGCCTGGCCCCCTAGCATTTTTTCCTGGGCCCCTCCCTCCCAGCTGGCCCCACAGTGCCTCAACTCACCGCCTCTGACTTGCCTGCCAAAAAACTGAGCACCCTGAGTGCCTTGGTCACTTCTAGGGGTGTTTTTTGGGGGGTTTCGGGATCCAAAAAAGCTTCCCTGAGCTTTTCTGGATTCCGTGGGGGGGAGGAGAAATCCCAAAAAACCCGAAAATTTTCATCTCCCCCCTGCCTTTTTTCGGCTTTCCCGAAAAACGGCACTGGGGTTTGTTAAATTTTAAAGGGCTCTACTAAACTTAGTTTTCCTGCCGTTTAGCCTCTTTCCCGCCTCTTCCTCTGGTTTCCAGGAGGGAGGGGGAAAGAGGAACCTTGCAGACAGCCAATCACTGCAATGCATTTCAAAATGCATTGCAGCTTGCAATTTTTTGCAAGGCTGTTGTTGCTGCTGGCTTCAGTTCTTGAAGCCCAGCTACTAGCTTGCTCCTTTCCCAGGGAAAGGAGCACTGGCCAAAGGATTTTGGCATCTGCTCTCTGGCCAATCACAGAAGGTTGTTCCTTTTTGAAATCCTTCTGTGTATGCCCAGAGAGCATAAAAGAAGACTATGTGGCTGGCTGACTCCATTCCTGTTCCTGATTCCTGCTCGTGGTGGTGAGAGAGAACCTGGCTTGGAGATTGTGTGTGGCTGGCTGGCTTCTGCTAGAATCAGCCCCTGCTCTTTGAGCCTACTTTTCTCCCTGCTGCTGCCTGCCTTGGACTACCAGACTGAAGACATCACACTTGGACTACCAGATTTATATTAGGGCACTTTAAATTATATTGTTGTTGTTCAGTCGCACAGTCGAGTCCGACTCTTTGCGACCCCATGGACCATCTCCCGCCAGGCCCTCCTTTCTCCAGCACCATAGTTCAAAAGAATCTATTCTTCGGCGCTCGGCCTTCCTTATAGTCCAGCTCTCGCAGCCATACATGACTACTGGGAATACCATTGCTTTGACCATGCGGACTTTTGTTGGCAGGGTGATGTCTCTACTTTTTATCATGCTGTTTAGGTTCGCCATCGCTTTCCTCCCAAGGAGCAGGCGTCTTTTAATTTCATGGCTGCAGTCACAGTCTGCGGTGATCTGGGATCCCAGGAACGTGAAGTCTGTCACTACTTCCACGACTTCCCCTTCTATTTGCCAAGGAGTGATGGGGCCGGATGCCATGATCTTAGTTTTTTTGATGTTGAGCTTCAAGCCCACTTTTGCGCTCTCCTCTTTTACTCTGAGCAAGAGGCTCTTTAGATCCTTTTCACTTTCAGCCATTAGAGTGGTATCATCTGCATATCTGAGGTTGTTGATCTTTTCCCCAGCAATCTTAATTCCCGCTTGTGATTCATCCAGGCCAGCATTTCGCATGATGTACTCTGCATATATATTAAATAAGCAAGGTGACAGTATACATCCTTGTCGTACTCCTTTTCCTATGCTGAACCAATCAGTTGTTCCGTATCCGGTTCTAACTGTCGCTTCTTGGCCCTTATACAGGTTTCTCAAGAGACATGTGAGGTGGTCTGGTACTCCCATCTCTTTAAGGACCTGCCATAGTTTGTTGTGATCCACACAGTCAAAGGCTTTAGCATAGTCAATGAAGCAGAAGTAGATATTTTTCTGGTACTCTCTTGCTTTCTCCATAATCCAGCGAATGTTGGCAATATGATCTCTCGTTCCTCTACCTCTTCGAAACCCAGCTTGTACTTCTGGTAGTTCTCTATCCACGTACTGTTGAAGCCTAGCTTGTAGGATCTTGAGCATGACCTTGCTAGCGTGTGATATGAGTGCAATTGTGCGATAGTTTGAACATTCCTTGGCGTTGCCCTTCTTTGGGATTGGAATGTATACTGATCTTTTCCAATCCTGTGGCCACTGTTGCGTTTTCCAAATTTGCTGGCAAATGGAGTGCAGCACTTTAACAGCATCATCTTCTAAGACTTTGAATAGCTCAGCTGGAATACCATCACCTCCACTAGCTTTGTTGTTAGCAATGCTTTCTAAGGCCCATTTAACTTCACATTCCAGGATGTCTGGCTCAAGGTCAGTGATTATACCGTCGTGTTTGTCAAGGACATTGAGGTCTTTCTTGTATAGTTCTTCTGTGTATTCTTGCCATCTTTTCCTAATCTCTTCTGCTTCTGTTAGGTCCCTACCGTTTTTGTCCTTTATCATGGCCAGCTTTGCATGGAACGCTCCCTTGATTTCTCCAATTTTCTTGAAGAGATCTCTAGTCCTTCCCATTCTATTGTTTTCTTCTATTACTTTGCACTGTTCATTCAGGAAGGCCTCCTTATCTCTCCTTGCTGTTCTCTGGAAATCTGCGTTCAGTTGGGTAAATCTTTCCTTTTCGCCTTTGCCTTTCGCTTTCCTTCTTTCCTCTGCTATTTGTAAAGCCTCATCAGAAAGCCATTTTGCTTTCTTGCATTTCTTTTTCTTTGGTATGGTGGTGATTGCTGCCTCCTGTACGATGTCACGAACCTCTGTCCATAGTTCTTCAGGCACTCTATCTATCAAATCCAGACCCTTGAATCTATTCTTCACCTCTACTGTATATTCATCAGGGATGTGATCTAGGTCAAACCTGAATGGCCTCATGGTTTTCCCGATTTTCTTCAGTTTAAGTCTGAATTTTGCAATGAGTAGCTCATGATCTGAACCACAGTCAGCTCCAGGTCTTGTTTTTACTGACTGGATAGAGCTTCTCCATCTTTGACTGCAAATTATATAGTCAATCTGATTTCGGTGTTGCCCATCTGGTGATGTCCATGTGTAGAGTCGCCTCTTAGGTTGTTGGAAAAGGGTGTTCGCTATGACCAGTGTGTTCTCTTGACAAAACTCTGTTAACCTTTGCCCTGCTTCATTTTGCTTTCCAAGGCCAAACTTGTCTGTTATTCCAGTTACCTTTTGACTTCCTACTTTAGCATTCCAGTCCCCTATGATGATGAGGACATCATTTTTTGGTGTTAGTTCTATGAGGTGTTGTAGGTCTTCATAGAACCGGTCCACTTCAGCCTCTTCTGCATCAGTGGTTGGGGCATAGACTTGGATTACTGTGATGTTGAATGGTTTGCCTTGGAATCGGACAGAAATCATTCTGTCATTTGTGAGATTGTATCCCAGTACTGATTTTTGCACTCTCTTGTTGACTATAAAGGCCACACCATTTTTTCTACGAGATTCCTGGCCACAGTAGTAGATATAATGGTCTTCTGAGTTAAATTCGCCCATTCCTGTCCACTTTAGTTCACTGATTCCTAGGATATCGATGTTCAGTCTTGCCATCTCATTTTTGACCACGTCAGGCTTACCTTGATTCATAGATCTTACATTCCAGGTTCCTATGTAGTATTGTTCTTTGCAGCATTGGACTTTCCTTTCACCATCAGACACATCCACAACTGAGGGTCCTTTCGGCTTTGGCCCAGCCGCTTCACTCTTTCTGGGGTTACTTGTACTTGCCCTCTGCTCTTCCTCAGTAGCATATTGGACACCTTCCGACCTGAGGGGCTCATCTTCCGGCGTCATATCTTTTAGCCTTTTGTTACTGTCCATGGGGTTTTCTTGGCAAAGATACTGGAGTGGGTTGCCATTTCCTTCTCCAGTGGATCACACTTGGTCTGAGTTCTCTGCTGTGGCCTGTCCGTCATGGGTGGCCCTTCACGGCATAGCCCACAGCTTCATTGAACTGCTCAAGCCCCCTCGCCACGACAAGGCAGTGATCCATGAGGGGGATATTATATTATATTAGGGCACTTTAAAAAATTCTTTATTTCTTGTGGGTTGGTGGGTTGAGACCTGGGGTTAGTGTGGTGGTGGTGGGGGGTAGGCCTCTAGGGCCTCTCAGGCCTCTTCCTGGTGTTTTTTTTTGGGGGGGGGGTCTCTTCTTTTAGATTGCGGTTTAGCCAGCCTGTTTTTGCATTTTCCTTTTATTTTTTTTTTACTGTGATTGATTTGATATTTTATTTCTTGGCTTGTTGGGGCTTTTGGGGGGGGTTACTGGTTAACCTTCTGCCTCTCACTCTCTTGCTTTTGGTTCTTTCTTGTGTTTTGGTTCTGTTGCCTTTGCAGTTTAATTTTTTTAAGTTCTTGTATTTTCTGGGCTTGTTTTTTTGGGTTTTTTTTACTGACTAGGCCTTCTTCTTTTTGGTTCTTGTCCTTTGTGGTTCTGTTGCCTTTAAGTTCCTTTTATTGTGTTTTCTGGGCTAGTTGGGTTTTTTTTTAGGGGGGTTGTTACTAACTAGGCTTTCTACCTGGGCCTAGGCTCTGTCTGTTCAGTTGCCTTTTAGTGGTTCTGTTTCTGTGCCTTTTAGCAGGTTTTAAGTTGTTAATTTTTGTGGACTTTAGTTTTGGCTTTCTTAGGCGTGGGGGTCAGTGCTCTGTGTGTGCTTCTGGTTTAGCTGCTGCACCAGTGTTAAATAGGCTTTTAATAAAGGTTTCAGGTATTTTGAACTAATATTTTTAAATAAGTCTCAGCAGAGGGCTTTAGCTGTTCTACCTTTAACTAGGCCAGCGCTAGAAGAACAAAAAGAGGCCAGGTTTGTCTTCAGCTCATAAAACAGAGGTATAAGTAGCGTATAACTTTTTAAAAAGCAGTGTGCTGTCTTGTTTGTGTTCTGATTGAACTTTGGTGAAGTCAGGCACTTTTTTCAGAGAAATTTTCCCCCTTTAGCTTGTGTGTTTGAATTAGGGAGCGCCTGCATTCCTTCACAGGGAATCAGGTTGGTTCCATTAGAATGTAGATAGGAGTAGTTTAAAACCCTAACACTTTTAAAAAGGTTTCCAAGCCACATCTCAAGGACAGTCTTTAAACCATAGTCAGGGTCAGTGTAGGAATCTACTGGTTCTAAGAAACAAACCCAGAAAAAACTGAAGCAAGGCTAGGTTAGGCTGTACTGAAAGAAACAAAAACCTAGTTTTTGGGTGGGAGGGTTTATCAAAAGATGTGAAGCTGCTTTAGGGTCAGGTGATAGTGCAGGTAAGTTAGGTGCCTAATACCCTTCCCATAAGTCAGGCTGAGTTTGGCCAGGGGCAGCATGAACAACAGGAAGGGAACGCAGAGGGGCCCTGGGGGGCAAGGCTAAACAGAAGACTAGAGAGGGGGAGAGCCTTGCTTTCTCCCCCACCTCAGCGCAGGACCACAGCAGAGTATCCTGACGCCACTCAAACTTCTGGCCAGAGTGGTGCCATGAAGAAGCCATGCCTGGTTCTCTTCCTTGAGAAGGATGCTCCTGGGGTGGCCCCAGCAGAGGTGCCTGCAGGTGCTGGCACCGGGCAGGGGTCTGCTGCTCTGGCCTCAGCGGCCAGAGGAGGGGCAGCAAGAGCTGTCTTTGGGGTTGGGCTCCGGGGACACTCTGTTTTCAGAACTCACTCCACAGACTAAGAGGGTTCTAGAGGTACTGGAGGAGGAGCTGGCTGGCCAGCCCACTCCTCCAGTTTCTCTAGGCACCAGCAGGCCTCCTGAGGGACAGGAGGAGAGGCTGGGAGAGGAGGAAGAGATGGAGGTGGTGCACCCCAAGCACCTGTCATCTCAACCCCTTCCCCCTGCTCAGCCATCTCTTCCTACCTCCCAAAGATACGGTGTGTCTGGGCCGAGCTCCTCACAGGAGGCAGCTCCGGGGATGCCCATGGCTGCTGGTCAGCGTGGGTGCCCCTTTACCTCTGAAGTCTGGATCCACTTGCCTCATCACTGAGATGCTTCCGCTAGATGGGTGCCCCTTCTCTACGATCGAAGATGTTGGTTTCTGCAGGCTGCTCCAGGATGCCTATCCCTGGTACACGCCCCCTGCTTGCACCACGCTGAGCAGGACTGTGATGCCCTCATTGTACAGGGCTAGGCTTGCCAAGTCCCCCCCGGGGGGGCAGGGAAACCCCCGCCCCAGAGGCCCGTTCCCCGCCGCCGGCGGATTGGGCCTCGGGGGGAACCCCACCCCGATGTGTGCGTCACCCGGAAGTGATGCGACCACGCTGGAGACACTACCCTACCCCCTCCCTCTCACTTTCTGAGGCATTAGTGGGCAGGGCCTCTTGTTGTGGTGATTACTAACTTGTACAGGTTCTGCCCCCTCAGTTTATGCTGCAGAGATCCTCTGATTTGACCTGAGTTCTGTTGGGTTTGGGCACTGACTGGCACAGTGGCACAGGTTCTAGGGGGCACTTTGCACTGGTTCTGCTGCTGGCCTGGCTGGCAAACATGCCCCCTCACACCACCACCACACCTCACTTACTTTCTTACAGAGAGATTCTTGGGAGACACTGTCTACTGCCTGCCTTTTCCCCATCCCCATAGGAAACAATGGAGAATTGGGGGCACCCACTTTGGATGCTCCTGGAATTGGACCCCCTGGTCCAATCTTTTCAAAACTTTGGGGGTCTTTTGGAGAGAGGCTCCAGCAGCTACAGTCCAATTTTGGTGCCTCTACCTCAAACCCCTCCCCCCCAGCCCCTGAAAACATGTTAGAAGTTTTTTGCCATTGACTACAATGGCCCCATAGGATATAATGGAGCTGAAAATTTTCGGGAATCCTGAAAATTTTTGGATATCTACCGGTATTGATATTTGGGTTTTTCGGATTTCCCCCCAAAAATTCGGGTTTAATATATCCGAATTTAAAAAACCACGAATTTTTTTTCCTGTACACCCCTAGCCCACTGACTTTGCTCCATTCCCAGCCTCAGACACTCAACTTGCCGACTGCTTTGCCCTGCCTGGTTTTGCAACTTGAGCAGGGATGCCGTGCTCGCAGACCGGGGCATGTCTAGGGAGCTCTCAGGGACCCCTCTGCCCCCTGATTAGGGGAGAGAGAGAGGGGAGGAGGCTGCTTTAGGGGAAGGTCATCTTCTAAGGACTCCCACTAGTCGATTTAAAGTTAATTAACTTTAGTTTTAATTAAATTTAAATTAAAGTTAATTAACCCACCCAGCCCCCTCCCAAAAAATCCCCTAGTTATGGGGCTGATGGTGCCTTCGCAGAGTGCTTTCTGACGGAGCTGCCTGTTAGGTAGAGAGCCATGCCTGGGTCTCCATTGAGCAGCTGCAGAGTCGGTGGGGGGTTGAGTTGAAGTGATAGGCAGAAAGGGGGATTTGACCTCCTGTTCTTTTCCCCCAATCAGTTCTAGCTGCATGTTTGTCACTTCTTAAGGGGAAGGCACCTGAGGGAGGGGGATTGCATGGGAACAATGACTCTTAGGGAAGCTACCCTTCCATCCGCCACTCTTTTGCTTCAAAGCTCACCTTCCCCTGTCAACTTTGCAACTATTTATTTATTTATAGTCTGCCTTTGTCACTGAAACTCAAGGTGAATTACATAGTTAAAACCAATGTAATAGATTGTATGTAATTGTCAGCTATGCTGCCATGGGGGTGGGGAGGTTGGTTGTCTTCTAATTGCCTTTGCATTCCTTCTGTGCTTCTTTGCTGCCACAACGCTTATCTCTAAGTATTGCAGGTGGGGTTGTTGATGTCTGGTCTTCTTGGGAACCATGAGGGAGTTTCGGTCCCAGCTTCAGCACTAAACGGCCGAAGCTCTTTCTCCCGCGTGCGGGAGGGTGGCTCATTGGCCAGGGCAGTGGGGGTGTGCATACGAATACCCTATATCCTATTATGCCCCATGGGCAGCCGTCATTCTTAACAGTGCCTATGTTAATGCATCTATAGCTCTTCAATAAAGTATTACCTTTCCTGAAAGCGTGTACTACGTTGTCGGCTGTGGGTTCTGACAGTAATATGCCATCAATAGTGGAGTAAAACGCATACATAAATTGATGAACAAAGCATTTAAAACAGTATAATAGATACCGGAAGCGAATACAGTATATATACATATAAACAACGCAACAAAGCTGGATTGCAAAACTAAAAAACAATGCAATAAAAACGGATAATGTGTACAATGAACAAAGCAATGGAAACTGCCTGAAATTTTACAGACAACATTCCATTTATAAAAATGCCATCCTGAAATATTCCATTTTGCACTCTCTCTGAAGATTTATGTTGCCAGCATAGGTTCTCACTGAGCTTGTAGTTCTGTCCTTAAAACCCTGCAGTTTGCTTTCCTTTTCCAACAAAGCTGGAAGGTGAGGAACAAAAAGGAGGAGTACATGGATAAGAGGTTTTAGACTTCAGATTGTTTGGAAGGCAGTATGTTTTACTAAGGGGAAGATGGCTCAGCAAGGAGCTATAGTTGTCACCATAATTCGTGTTGGGTGTATCTAGATAGGACTGGGAGCTAATTTCAGACCAGTAATTTTGATTGGGAAGAGTATTTCCAGCTCTGTCCCGGGCTACTGTAAATCAGGTGGAATCTTCTTCAAAGAGGTAGATATTAGAAAAGGACTGTGTCAGATTAACCCACATGTGTTTTTATGGTGTATTGCACAGGTACAAGGATGACCCCTGGCTATGGGATCTGGAGTGGGACCTCCAAGAATTTAAGCAGAAGAAGAAGAAAACTGGGAAGAAGAAGAAGAATCAAGATGGTGATGACGTACCTCCCAAAGCACTGGAAAAGGCCTCCATGCTGGAGTGGCAGGAAGGTAAAGCGCTATCATAATTGGCCGACTCATGTGGGTCTCATTTATCCTAGCAGCAAGAAGCAAGATTTGTTTTCAGATTCTGGTGTATTTGTATTATTTCATTATGCGGCTTAGATACTTGCATTTTCAATGAAAGCCCAGCTAATACAGAACCATATACCTGTATCAAATTTTACATCAAGCTGTAGATTCTTTAGGGTCACTGAATGACTGTGGCCATGTAGGCCCCTTGACACAAGGTGCAGTACAGTTAAAGAATGACATTGTCCCCCAAACGTCTTGACAAATGTTTTTTTTCTGATTTGTCTATTGTTGAGAACAGATCCTCTTACACTGTAATTTGTTAAATGACATTCGAGTGGAATTTATACCCCTTAGGTTGGTAGCAGGCCAATCAGATAGAATCAAGGTACAATTTCTCCTTGCTTCACGAGATCCGGAGATCATTGAACTGACCGCTAAGTTTCTCCATGTTTTTATAAAACGGAAGAGTGACCCTGATCATATTAATGATTCTTAATTTATAAGTCTAAAAACTTAAGTTTAAAAGTTTAGAATGCCAATTTATTTTATGATTCAGGCATCTTTTGTATGGTCAAATCTAGCTTGTGACAACTTGAGTTAGGCCTGACATAGCCACGACTGTCTATTTTATAATTTCTTTTGGATTGTATTATTGGTAAATGCTTCTAATATTGTATGCCAATAAAAGGTATTTGAATTTGAATTGAATTGAGAACAGATCCTGGTCCCCCTACTGAAGAGGAGGAACAGAACATCCCTGAGAGCCGGCTTTGCTTGGACCATCTGAAGGAGACTGTTACTTTGCAACCAAAGAGGATTCAGCATCTGCCTGGCCATCCAGGGTGAGTTGTTAAAGGAAGCTTCCATAAATCGCTTTCAATAGAAACATCCACAGGACATTTTATAAAAAGTTACAAAAACAAGTATAAAATAAGTCCAATTAAATTAAACCTCAACATCCTTTTAGATGGTACCAATTAGCTTTGTGCCCTTATGGACAGAATGCTCATGCTGCAGTCTGCTCTTTGAAAATGCCTCTTTTTGTAGTTCAGGGATAGAATTATGAACCCAAAGCTTTAGGAACTGGCTCCTCTGGGCTGCTTTTAGCCCTGGTAGAAGAAAAGATAAAAAGTAGACTTGAGGGGTGGTAGAGGGAAGCCGTGGCCCTAATCCACACTGATACTTCCCCTCCCCCACCTGCTTTTTACAGTTAAATCAAGCAGTGTGCAATCACCAATGTATAGCACTTACTAAAGACAGTGTTTCTTCCCCTCTACCCTCCGAACACTATTCCTGTAGGTGGTACCGTAAACTGTGTCCCCGGCTGGATGATCCCAGTTGGGTACCTGGGCCAAGTCTCATCAGCCTGCAGATGAGAGTGACTCCAAAGCTCATGAGGCTCACCTGGGATGGCTTTCCGCTGCACTACTCTGAGAAGTATGGCTGGGGCTACCTGGTGCCAGGAAGGAAGGAGAGACCAGTAGAAGATGACCTGGGTGACCAGTCACCTTCGTGTCCATTCAGGTAAGAGCCTTCTGTAGCAGCCATTGGGTGGGGGAAAGTGTCATCAGGTCACAGCCAACTTCTTGTATTTAATATTGTGCTTTTTTTATTCTAGAAGGCAGATCTTTATTTCTGCATTTTCAATACGTTAATTAAAACCAAAATTTTAACAACCACTACAGCAGTACGGTCAGTAAACATGACCGAAATCCTGTATAAGTGTAAATATAACTATTCCTATTCCTCTGTGTTAAGTGCTGTGAAGTTGCTTCCAACTTAGAATAATAGAACCATAGAGTTGGAAGGGGTCCCACAAGCCATCTAGTCCAACCCCCTGCTCAATCCGGGATCAACCAAAAGCATACCTGATGAATGTTCGTCCAGCCACTGCTGGGCCATCCTTCCTCCCTTTATTGAAGACGAGCCTGATACCCGTGCTTCGCTATGGTATTTAAGTTATGTAAATCCAGTTATAATACTGATGATGTGAAGTCTGAAATGTAACATTTGTTGTTGGAATTCTAACGGAGAAGAAAGTAGTGTAAGAAATGAAGCAAGACATACATACTTTTTTCTCTCTCTACCAAAGGACCTCTCTCTAGACCACATTGGTGGTTCTGCCTTCAGGTGCTAGGATCACCAGGTTGCTTGGTGAGCTCACTCTGTAGCAGGCCACATAGCCATTTAAGAAGCAGTCGTCTGTTAAATCCACTCCTGCTACCTTCCACGAAAGTGATGCTCTCTACTTGTGTACCTGGATTGTTTTGCTCATATGGAGACTGTGTTGTTCTGAGCACCTCAGGGTGATCTTGCTGGTACTTGGCCTGTGCAGCTCAGTGCACTGCAGGAGTGCTGTGTGCAAATGTTTTTGCCACAATCCTAAATTACCTCCTCCTTGTAGTGTTGGTGTATCTGGCTCAACATATGCCAGGAGCTTTCTTGGAGGCAGTAAGAGGTGAGAGGTGTGAGGGGGAGTTGGTGTGAGGGAGTGGTGATGTGGTAGACATTTCTTCAGGTTCACGAGGGAGGCACGCATCAAAATGGCTCCTAGAAATGTCCTTTACTATCTCCCCATAAACATTCATACCCTGGCCCTGTTCCTACACCTGACAGACACTGGCCTGTCTGGCGTTGGGGGGGGATTGTATTTAAAGGCATTGGGGAGGCTGGGCCAGCAGCAGTGCTAAGGCAATCCTGCTGAGCAAACCTCCCCGGCGGCTGTAAGCATCCCAGCTCCTCTCCTACACCTGACAGGCAGCTGCCTGTCCAGTGTAGGAGGGGGAGGGGGGAGGACTATTAGAAGCCACTGTGGAGGCAGGGCTGGCAGGATCACTAAGGCATTACTGCTGGGGCAGGCTTCCTGTCCTGTGTAGGAGGGGGAGGGAGGAGGAGTATTAGAAGCCACTGTGGAGGTGGGGCTGCACCTGGCAGACAACCGCCTGTTAGGTGTAGGAGGTGGGGGGAGTGTGTTGGAAGCCATCGGAGAGGCTGGGCCAGCAGCATTACTGAATCTCACAGGTGCTTCTTGGCCACTCCCGATTTCCTCAACTGTCATTAGCTGTCTGCAGTCCCCTGTAACTGTTGGCTTTTTTAACCTCAGAACTCTGAGATCTGCAGCTGACGAATGGGGGGGGGGTGCAGGGAAAGAGCTGCCTGGCAGCCGCATAGGAATCAATGGGGGGAGCACATTTCCCCCTTTTTGACCCACTTAGGGGTCGAATTTCTAACAATCCCTTCTTAGCGAGCACCTATGCCACGGTGAGAGTTCTCTCCCCGAATTTGGTGTCTCTAGGTCCAGCGGTTTGGCCTGGGCATTGATTTTACGGTGGGGGGACTTTCTTTTATATATATAGGCAAAATAGGCATTGAGCATTTCTGATTTCTCTCTGTCCTCTGTTAGTTTCTCTATTTTTACCCAGCAGTGGGCCTATTGCCTTCTTTACCTTGCATTTGCTCCTCATATAGCTGAAGAAGCTTTTCTTGTTATAGCAAGCCTTCCTGGCCAACCTCGGCTCACTCTTTGAGGTCCGTTTTAACTCTACATATCTGTGTTCTGTGTTTTGCTGCCTTCAAGTTTTCCTAGCATTATTGTGTTTTCCAGGGACTCTTGTCTTCTCATTATTTATTCATTCATTTATTTAGTTTGATTTGTAAAACTGCCCTTTTCTCTGAGAAAGGGCTCAGGACAGTGCACATCAGTATAAAACATATGCATGACAAAATCATATCTTAAATCTAATGTATGATACAGCAAAGACGATAACCTATATTCAGTGGGATGGTAATGGACGGCTAGAACATATGCCACTGCATCATGCGGGGAGGGGAGGCAGGAGAAACGGGTGTGAGCCAGATGGAAAAGAAGAAGAAGAGGAGAAAAAATATATTTGGGCAAAGTCAGCCTAAAGTTTTATTGGGCAAAAATGCATGCTGGTCTTCAGGAGGGGGATAAAATAAAGTGGAAACGTAAAACCAGGTGGGAATCAGATTTAGGCTTGCTTGTTTCAATGGATGAGTGGGGGGAAAGCATTTCATAAATTATCTAAGATTTTGGGATTGGAGAGAACTGTTTGAAAATGCATCATCATTGGTATTTGACTCCTACAAGATTTCAGGGAGGTTGGAGGTTTGTAGTAAATGTGGTAAAGAAAAAGTAACCTTTTATCTATGGCGGGCTTGTCTAATTGTCCAGGTATATTGGAATAGTTTGCACAATAAAATTGAAGCAATTATGTTACGTACATTTAATTGCATACCAAAGATCTTTTGAATGAATACCCTAACAGTATGGACTTGCCTTGAAGATATCTGTTGCAACAGTTGATCATTGCAGCTAGACTGGCATTGGCATAGAGATGAAAGAATCAGTTTCATTTTTGGGACTGTGGTTAAACAAAGTGTGGTTCATGTGGACAATGAATTAGCTTCATATAGGTACATGTGGAACGGAAATACAATAACTGAACAGGAAAAAATAAAGATGTAAATAATACACTGAAGAACTACACAGAAGAGATTAAAGGATGACAGATTCTTTCAAAGAAGAATCTTTTAAAGAACCTACAGTTTTAAAAAGTGAAGTTAAAGCTGCACTGAGAGCAGCTGGGAGAAACACAGAAGTAGATGGGATATCAATAGAGCTTTTAGGTTTTATTTAAGACTCAGAATTAGGCAGCCAGACCAATTCCCCCGTTCATTTCAGCAGGCAGGGCTCAGTTACAATTCAATGGGGCAGCAAACTCTCTTCCTTCCCCTTGCAGGGTTATTGAGCATCTGTACCAGGAACATTGCAAGGAGAAAGGTAAAGAGCAGCCTGTCTCACTAGAAGCCTCTCTGGAAGAAGACCTTATATTAACAGAAAACAGCACTTTCTGGCAAAAGGTACAACTTATGAGATTCAAGCTCAGTAGAATCACATAGTGTAAATGTTGTGGTTTGTGCCAGTTCAGGTAACACATGTATGACTTGCGTAAATAAGTATCCATTAAAAAGCAACAACCACTCCTTGAATACAGAAAACTTAGCATGTGAGCTTTGTGTGAAGGCCTGTCTTGCTTGTATGGTTAGGAAGGTGAAAGTGAAATGAGTAGATAACAGGTGTACAAAATGAACCAGATGTTAAAGAGGTCTCTTCCCTTCCTGCCAGGTTGAAGAGTTCAGTCACCTGGAGGCGGATGGGGATGCAGAGCCTGCAGCCAAGTCCTCAAGACAGGTATCAGCATACCTGGCTGGGAGAAAGATGATCGATTTGTGTGCATTGTATATTGCTCAAGCTTGTGCATTGGGAGTGTCTTCTGAGGTGCTGCGTAAAGGTCTAAGTGTTCAGGGCTCATTTTTCGTACAGGGTGGGTCTAGTCCCATAGAGGAGGAAATGACAGGAGCAGCCCTTGTGAAGTACTGAAAGCATGTACTCTGCCCTTGATGTTTGTCATTCCAGATGGAGCTCAGATCTACCAAACTGAATTCATTTATGTAAAATATTTATAACTACTTTTTCAGCCTGGTTTCAAAGTGGCTTATAGCAACAGAAGAAAAACTGAAACAACACCTGTGTAAAATCAGTAACAGAATTCAAACAACACATAGTGACTAAATACATTTGCTAGTCAGAAAAGTCTAAAATTCCAAAAGCTGCCCCCCCCGAAGGTTTTGCAGCCTTTTAGGAATGAAGACAAAGAGGCATAACTCCTTAGTTCCAAAGTCATTGGTGGCTTCAGCTTATTTCTGGATGGAGTAGGAGGGGGGAGTGCCCGGCATTCAATCCTTTTGAGACTGCTTAGCTGGACTCTGTTTCTATTACAGCATTCTGTCTATCTGAGGTGATCATTAGAATCATAGAGTTGGAAGAGACCTCCAGGGTCATCTAGTCCAACCCCCTGCACAATGCAGGAAATTCAAAAATACCTACCCCCACATCCCCAGTGCCCCCTGTTCCATGCCCAGAAGATGACAAAAAACCTCCAGGATCCCTGGCCAACCTAGCCTAGAGAAGTGGCAATCAGTATTTCCCTGGGCATGTAAGAAAGGGCCACAAGACCTAAGCACTGAGGCAGCCCTTCCTGCCCTCTCTCTCATGATCTGCCTAAGTTCACAGAATCCGCATTCTTGTCAGATGGCCATCTAGCCTCTGTTTAAGAACTTCCATAGAAGGAGAGCTCACTGTCTCCTAAGGAAGCCTGTTCCACTGAGGAACCACTCTTAACTGTCAGGAAGTTCTTCCTAATGTTTAGCCGAAAACTCTTTTAGGTGCTTCCTACCTAACTCATTTAGGCGCTTTCCACACCTGAAATATTTTATATTTTTGTAAATATTGATCTTGTCCAGCTAATTCAGCATTGATTGCCTCTAGGATGAGGTGGGGTCTGCAGAGAGCCATCCTGAATATCACCATGGCAATGGTCCGTACAATGATGTCAATATCCCAGGCTGTTGGTTTTTCAGGCTACCTCACAAGGTGAGTGTGGAACATTTTAATGAGTATTTCTCATGGATTCTCAAATCCACTGTCTCTGGATCCCAGTAGCTAATTGCACTCTAAAATTAGAAAATACATTGAAGCGTATATGCTTTTATAGTATAGGAGAATGTTGTACACACAGTGTTCCACGCACAAGAATTCTTTAGACTGAATTGATTTTGTTTGTCTAACACCCTTGTAGAAAAGACTTTTTTTTGGGGGGGGGGAATGACAAGTTTTGCTCTATAGATGTGCCAGGCCAAGTACCTGTGTTCTTGCCTCCTGCCCACTTCCCTTGGCAATTAACATTTCTCCCTTGTATTGGAAATACGCATACAGGTGTGCTGGAGGTGAAGTGTGCTTGTAGGATGAACCTTTAGTGCTTCTCACACTGGAACCCAACAGTAAATCATGACTTGGGGGGGGGGGAGCCAAAGAGGAAGAGGGGCATGGTGAGGTGGAAGAGGAAACTCTGGGAAAGCTCCATGATGAATGTGGGTTTCCCTCTGTATAAGTTGCAAAACAGCCATGCCGTACAGTCCATAGCTCAGTGCTATATATTTATAAATACTAAACACTAAAAGTGGAATATAAACTTGCAGGAATCTAACATCAGTTAACACTATTTCATGCTGGGAAGTGAGAGGTGTACTTTTCAAGATGGTCTTATAATTTGGTGGATTTAAAGTTATTTAAGTTATGTACTCAATTTTAGTAAAATGGAAATGCTAGGGCCTCCTGTTTGTCAGTCATCCCATTGCCATTAGCCGTGAAGACAGGAACTTTTTTAATTCCTGAAAGCAATTGGGTAGAAATACTTTAGCTTGCAGAATAAACAATGACAACGAGATTTGTTTGTAAACTGTGAACAGGAAGGCAACCAGGAGCTGTTTCAGAGCTCCTGTTCTGAGTCCAAGCTAACTTCTTCCCCTGCTGTTAAAGGATGGGAACAACAACAATGTTGGAAGTCCATTTGCCAAGGATTTCTTGCCCAAGATGGAGGATGGAACCCTGCAAGCTGGCACCGGAGGTTCTGATGGGACACGAGCTCTTGAAATCAACAAGAAAATCTCCTTCTGGAGGAATGCGCATAAACGAATAAGGTAATTTGGGTATTCTGCAGTTGAACTGCAGTCTGCTTTGCTGCCAGATACTCCCTGTCTTCCTCTCCAACTTTTCAGTGAGAGAATTTCAGTTCTGTGGTCAAAACCTTGACAAATGTGCATCTTCATCCGTGAACTTGTTCAGTTTGCATAAAGGTAAAGGTTCCCTTGCTCAAAAGCCAGTCGAATCCGACTCTAGGGTTGCAGTGCTCATCTCCGTCTCAAAGCCGAAGAGCCAGCGCTGCCCAAAGACGTTTCCGTGGTCATGTGCCCGGCATGACTAAACACCAAGGCGCACGGAACGCTGTTTCCTCCCCACCCAAGTGGTACCTATTTATCTACCTGCAATTTCTTGCTTTCGAACTGCTAGGGTGGCAGGAGCTGGAACTAGAGACGGGAGCTCACTCCATCATGCGGCACCCGGGTCTCGAACTGCTGAACTACAGACCTTCCACAGCCTTCAGTTCAGCGTCTTAACCACTTGAGCCACCACAGCTTGCATACGTTTGCATACATTACCCTATACTCAGATTTCGACAGGACTCTTTTGTGAAGAGGACGTGGGAGGAGCTAGCCATTATTTGTGGTTGCCACTCCAGATGCAAATTTTCTGGAAACATCAAAACCATAGAATTTTGGGGGAAACTGAAATATCTGCAATATTTAATTTCTTTATCAAGCTTCTTTTTTCTTTAAGGACATAAAATGTGTCATTTGTAATGTTGCTAGCATCAAAATTGTACTGTTTGTGACATCTGGAAGTTTGGATGAAACGAAACTGCAGATATAATGAATGCTAGAGAGAGAGAGGGGTGACAACTGCTGCATCCTATGCTGCCTAAGCCCATATTGCTGAGGAGCAGGAACACATGAAAGTTGAAAAAAGAAACCATACATGTTGTAGAAGAACACAAGATAACTTATCGTTTGGACTTAGACACAACCTATGTGGTTTCATATTAAGAACTATCAGCAGATTTCGATATTAACTTTAAAATGGCAATGTTTTTGTTGGGGAAATGAGGGGTGCAGGAACCTTTTCATGCACTCCCATTCCCACTGTGTTCGTTTTGGGGAGGGAGAGAAGCTGGCTTCCCAATTGTATCGAGAGAGAGAGAGAGAGAGAGAGAGACAGTTATTGTTAACCAAAACTCTGTTTATTCTATTACACACTCTTAACTCAGAAAACACTTTTGTAGCATTTCAATATTCTGTCAAATGATTGGCACAGTCATAAGACAATACAAGAAGCAAGAAAAAACTGTGAACAAGTGGCGCTTAATAATTGTTATTTAAAGAATCAAAAGTGAACAAAGTTAATATACAAATATGGGAAAATATATATTTTGACGGTGATCTCCGGAATGTCTTGCCGTTTTGAAGGTCGGTCTTCTTCCGAATAAAGATGTAAGACAAAGACTGTCTCTTCAGTGATTCACTTCCTCAGGTGTCGTTTCACAAATATCAAAGAAGATTCAGTATTAGTAATAGCTGTAATGTCTTGTAAAACCTGCCATGGGCTAAGATAATGATAATGCTTAATCAAGTAGGGCTCATGTGGACATTATATATTCTTTTTACATGAATCCTATCATGACTTACCTGAATCCTATCAGAATTAACGTTACTGGAGAGGAGGGTCTTCTGTCCTTTGCGCTGGCAAAAGGAGGTGGAAAGAAATGGCTGGAAACTTCTGAGCAGTGAGAGAATTCCTGTTGTTTCTTACATTCTCTAAACCCCACTGCAAAGTGAGAGTAACGTCTCTCCCCCACCCAGTCCCAAGTCATCTTCAATTTGATGGAGAACCCAAAGAAGGCATTATTTTGCACACAGGTGGGGGGCAGTTGCCATCAGCAGCCTAACTGCTATGCTTGCTTTCCAAACTTAGTTTCATTGGATGCCCTCCTTTGCTTTTTCGTTTGTTTCCTTTGGCAGTTCCCAGATGGTGGTGTGGCTGAAGAAAGGGGAGCTGCCTCGAGCTGTGACCAGGTACCTCAGTGGATATGTCCTTCAGGCCAATGTGACTTTGTTTGCTGCTCTCTAGCAGACCAAATGCAGAAAGTCCCTGGTTCGGGCCATGATGCATTCAAGTCACCACAGGAGAGCAGCCTTACCACATGAGCTCACTCGTGCTCATCCTGCCGGCTCGTTGCCTCCATCTTTTCTTTCTTGCTACGTATTTCTTGTTAATAGTTAATATCTCCCATTCCCTCCCCTTCCAGCTGGCAGGGGGAAATTAGTAGCCCCTTTACTCCGGTTTGCTTATTGGTGCTGGAGTTTTAAGAATTCTCTGCAGGGATAGCATTGCCAGAGGCCTTCCTAGTGGCAACCAGTTGAACAGCACACCTCTTGGGGGGGGGGGACTCCCTGACTCCAGATATTGGCAGCTTTGTTTATTCGTTTTTCATGAATCCACATAGCCGTCTGGAAATTCTTCTCTTGAAAGGAAGGCCAGAGGGAAGGAATACATCACTTCCCTTCCGCTTCCCTTCTCATCTGACTCAGTTATGGCCTGGATGTTCATACGCTGTGCCAGGAAATTCTGGTGTCTCAGCAAGAAGTGGCCGTTCCACAAAATGGAGCTACTTGAGCAGGTCTCTGGAGAGTCAGCATTAGGGGTGTGCAAAAAAAAAAAAAAGCTGCTATTTTTCAGCTTTGGGTAAATCAGACCTGAAAAATCTCAGTAAATGCCAAATTTCCCCAGTCCAATACCAGTAAAGTATTCAGATTGGGAAAATACTTGATATTGCCGAATGTATTCGGGCCTGATATTTCCCGCCAGAGGGAAAGGAGGCATGTTAGAATGCCTTCTTTCCCTCAGGTAGCCCCTGCAGATTTCCTTGTCAATTTCACTCCCTGCTAGTGAGCTGTTAGTGAAATTGACAAGGAAGAGCCTCCTCTTTCTGTCTTCCCTTCTCTAGCTGATATGGGGTAGCTGGAGAAAGGCAGGGAGGGATCCCAGGCATATTTCCCTGCCTGCGCTTCGCTTCCCCAGCCAGTCTGCCATGGCAGGTTGCCTGGGGAAGTGAAGAGCAGGCATGAAAACATGCCTCCTTCCCTCCCTGAGCCTCTCAGCTGCTGCGGAGAAACTCAGAGAAGGGAGGGAAATTCAGAGGAGACAAGTTTAAATGCCTTTCTTTCCCTTCTCAATCTCGGGGTAGCAAAGAAGGGCATTTAAACATTCCCCCCCACACACACACACACTTTCCCTCCCCTCCCTGAGTTTCTCTGCAGTAGCGGAGAGGCTCAGAGAGGGAAGGAGACATGTTTCCATGCCTGCCCTTCCCTTCCCCAGCCAATCTGCCACGGCCTGCTCTTCTCCAGGCTGTTAGGTTTAACTGACTCCTTGTATTCGGTATAGCAGAATGAACCCGAAAAAAAGCTAGATAATATTGGCTTTTTCGGGTTCAGCTATACCGGTATGTGATACCCGAAAAATACTGATAAAGTATTTGGGGGGTATTTTTCCGGTTCGGCTATTGCCAAATGCACACCCGTAGTCAGCATATACGTTTTCTAAATAAACTCATGTGTTTTGAAGCAGTTCAAAGGTGTTCAGGTACTGGGGTGTACTTGGGGCAAGATGGAGAAAGAATTTGAAACACACAGAATCTTTCTTCTTAATTCACTGGAGTCTTTTTTGAGACTATTCATACATGTTTCCATATTGTCTCTCCACTAATCCTTGGAAACTCAAGTGGAAAAGAGTAAAAGAAATTTATAACTAAACCTCAAAGCTCCAAAGGCTATTTTTTTAAAAAAAAAATCAAAGCTTGCTGTTTCTCAAGAATTGCCACCAGATTATTATATTCCAGGCACATTTCATAGAGGCAGATTAACAGAAGACTATGGCTGGGCTGGGCTGGGCTGGGCTAGGCTGGGTGCTAAATTTTAAAGCAGAGATGCTCATGGCTCCAGCAAAACACATTTACAGTCTGGCCTCCCATTTGTGCTAATTTAGCTGCAACCTCAGCTAGTTGCTTTGCTCGCACTGCTGTTCTTCTTGTTGTGCTTTAAAAGAGGCTCATCATCACACTTCTCTAGGCATCCAGACTACGATGAGGAGAGCAGCTACGGGGCCATTCTGCCACAAGTGGTGACTGCTGGGACCATAACTCGCCGGGCTGTGGAGCCCACCTGGTTGACAGCCAGCAATGCCAGAGTAGGTATCTCTTTCTCACCAAAGGCTTTGGCTTGGGCTGCTGTGCTCTGGTGATGAGACTGAGAAGTGTAGGGTTCCCTTAAATTTCAGATTAATGGAAATCCCTGATACTAAGGCTGAGCAGGATGTGACCTTCAGAGACCTGATATTCCAGTCCAAGGGAGTGTTTGGTCTTCTTTTCATGATAGGCTGAGGCAAGGACCCAAGATGGGGAGAAATGAAGAAGGGTGTACACTTGTTCCAGTATGGTAGTGTGCGGGGGAGATGGAATTTGGAGACAGGAGCTGAAATCTCGAAGAAGAAGGAGGTGGTGGAGGTGGAGGAGGAGGTGGTGGAGGTGGTGGAGGAGGAGGAGATGGAGATTGGATTCATACCCCACACTTCACTACCTGAAGGTGTCTCAGAGCGGCTTATAATTACAGGAAGGGTTGCCTCAGTGCTTAGTTCTTGTGGCCTTTTCTTACACACCCAGGGAAATGCTGATTGCCACTTTGGGGTCAGGTAGCAATTTTTCTCCAGGCCAGGGATCCGGAGGTTTTTTGTCATCTTCTGGGTGTGGAACAGTGGTCACTGTGAGTATGGAGGGGGAGGTATTTGTGAATTTCCTGCCTTGTGCAGGGGGTTGGACTAGATGACCTTGGAGGACCTTGGATGATTCTATGATTCCTTTCCCTTCCCCTACTCACAACAGACAGCCTGTGGGGTAGGTGGAGCTGAGAGAGCTCTTTCAAGAACTGCTCTTTCAAGAACAGCTCTGACAGAAGTATGGCTTGCCCAAGGTCATCCAGCAGCTACAAGTGGAGAAATGGGGAATCAAACCCGGTTCTCCCAGATTAGTGTCCACGCACTTAACCAATACACCAAACTAGCTCTCATGGAGTCTCTCTGTCCATCTCCACATCAAAATAAGGGAACAGCTGTGACACTAAACTTTTGAGATGCCACAGAGATGACATGTGATGCAGACTCACACCAGACTCACACACACCTTGCCTGGCCCCTTATGTTGTCTAGCCCAGCATCCACCAGGCCCAGTGGCCTTATAGATGCACCTTGTAAAATTCCTCACACCTGCCAGCTGTTCAATGGCATCTGGCCTTTTAAGAGTCAGGCAGTAACTGACAGCTGGCCCTTTGATAGCTAGCTGCCTGACAGTCAGCTGTTGGGAAGCTCCACCCACAGGACAGGCAGAAATTGCTCAGAAGGCAGTATTGGTCCCTCACAGGGCCTCTGGGCAGAAGGAGGCCACTGGGGATGCCTCAGGCATGAGTAGGTCCTTTAAAGGGCTCGAGGGAGGAGGGTGGTGAGGACAGAAGTTAATGCTGGCTCACAGCTCAGGAGGAAATAGGATTAGAGGAGAGGCAGCTGGCCCATAGCGACGGGGCATTTTGAGGCTCCGCCCCCTCAATTACAAGCCCTGCCCCACACGTTTTCATCAAGGAAAACTTTTTTTTAACCTACCTCACTGGGTGTCTGTGAGGAGGGGGAGGGAAAGGAGTTTGTAAGCCACTCTGAGACTCCTTTGGGTAGTGAAGGACGGGGTATAACTCCAATCTCTTCTCTTGAAAAGGTTTATGAAAGTCAGGTGGGCCTGTGCCCTGCCTGGCCTTTTAGAAAAGTCTTCCTAAAGATGGGGAGGAAAAGGCGCGGCAGAAGGGTGGGACTCAGAGTGCGGGGAAGGAAACGAAACTGGGTCCTAGAAAAGAATTCCCAGCCTCTCCGACTTTTCCTGCCCGCGAGGTTGTTCTGAGTCCGTCTTCTCCCGTCCTCATTGTGCTTGGGGCTCAGCTTCTCATCTCCACCCACCAGCTTGGGAGGAAGAAGGGCCGTACAGCAGCAGCCTCTCCCTTGCGCGCTGCTCAGGGTGGGGTGGTGCACGCGGTGGGAGGGAGGGAAGTAGCAGGACCCGAGCTAGGTTGGGCTCCGGCAGCTACAGGAAGTGACAGAGGCAGTGAGGCAGACGGGGGAGTCTGGCCTCCCCTCCCTCCCTTTCTCGCGCTGCCCTTACCCCACCCCCCATTTATTTGGAGGCAAGGGGCATTCTAAAGCTGAGGGGGCTGTCAAAGGGCAGACACCCCAGGGAGAATTCTCTTGCTCCCATGCCTGCTAACTTGCCCAGCACACTTGCAAGCAGGGTCGGGGGGGGGGGAGCTGCAGGCGGTACGACATTTGCTGTGCTCCATTTTAAAGGGTCAGAAAGGGGAGTAGGAGGTAATTAGATTAACTGTAATTTAATCATCTGCCCCCTAAACATTTTTGATGCCCCCCGAAGTAAAAAATCCTGGCTGTGGGCTGAGAGGCAGTGGAATGAGGGGGTCTGCAACACCCCCCCCCCATCTGAGGCCGAGGGCAAATTGGACCCTGATGTGTGAGGCCCATGTCCTGGGAGCCTACAAGAGGACTGTCAGGGGCTGCAGAAGGGGAGGGCACTTCACACATGACCATTTTGAGGATGTGTGCAAAACTTGTTTATGCCGTGTGAATCAACAATGGAGGCGTGTGGCTGAGGTATGTTGCTAACTTTGCATCACATATGGAATATGTAAAATCTGCTGTGGAGCTGGATTTGCCATGGTACTTGCCATGTGTCCACAGGGTGGCAAATGCATTTGCCACGGCTTAATGTTTGAAGGGCCCCTGAACCATCTTGGCCTCACTCAGGCATGCTACCAGCCCTACAACACTGTCTCTCTCTCCCCCATGAGTGAGTGGTCTCTGATCTCTCTCTCTTTCCCGCCTTACCAGTGTGATGTAAATTACACACCTTCTGAGTGGACAAATATCACCTGGTGTTCTGTGGAGCAGCAGGCCTAATACTCCTACGAGCAGTTGTGTCAGACACCTTTTGTAGATGCAGAAGTTTTTATACGGTATGAACAGAATAAAAGGAATCGTCAGGTTTCCATAAAGAATGCCGATGCAGTGGGAGAGAGTAGGAGCCATGAACTTTTCCTGCTCTTCCTATGGCGCTGTTTCCTTCTTAGCACAGACGTCAGCATTTGTGGTAAACTGTGTGTGTTCTTGCAGTAAGCTGTTTGCAGAACAGCTCCATAGTCTGGCAAAGAAGTGGCAGAGATATGTCTCCGTAACAGCTTAGCTAGGGACATGGTGACAGTGTCTTCATCCCTGCCTTGCAGGCAGACCGGGTGGGCAGTGAGCTGAAGGCCATGGTCCAGGTCCCTCCTGGCTACCACCTGGTTGGAGCTGACGTGGATTCCCAGGAGCTTTGGATAGCTGCTGTCTTGGGAGAAGCTAATTTTGCTGGCATACATGGTGAGTGCCTTCGCTTGTGGTGGCCATCCCCTTTGTGTCTTCAGTGTTTGGAACTATGATACTGTCTTAGCACATGAAGGCCCCGTGGTTGCTCTTCCCAGTGGTAAACTTGATAGTCAAGTGCTGTTAGTAGGGAAGCAAAATGGTCACCCACAGGCAAAGCAGGAGTTTCTGTGTACTTTGAAGTTCCCATGTCTGCGAAAAGAAAATTAATTTGTAAACCTATAGAGATGATTACTTATTTGATTTCTACGCCAACTTTCAATCCAGAGGATCCCAAGGTGGCTTATGAAGAATGGTAAGATACAGTTAATGTGGGGATGGTTCCATCTCCTCTGACATAACAAAATTGTGGGCAGGATCCCACCCAAACTCTAGTTCTCAATAATTCCTTCTTATCAGGGTTTATGCAGACTTTGGAGACTCCTTAGGCATACCAAAAATTAACCTGTAAATTTTTTTAAAGAAGGGGCAGCCAACCCCCCAGAGTACCCTGATGGAAAAAATGGTCCTTGGAATATTGAGAGTGGTTGAATATCAACTACAAGAAACTATGAGATGAAAAAAAAATGGTTTATGAAGCGCTTATGTCCTGGAGAAGACTGGCAAGGGGAGCATGTCCCTACAGTTTTATCTCCTTGCTTCCCCAGTGATTCTTTCTGGGCGCCCAACTTGTTTAGCTGTAGCAGCTAATAGCTGTTGGTAGACAGTTGGTAGTCCTCCCTAGATTTGCCTGCTTTGGTTTGAAAGCTGGCAGCTTTTCCTGCATCTGGTGGCAGTGAGTTCCATAATGCATGTCAAAAAGGGTCTTTCCTGGACCTTCTGCCCACATGCAGAAGGTCCAGAAAAGTCTAGAGTATAACTTGGAAGCTGCTTGGCATGGACGCTGGGGGGAAGGAGGAGGAGTTTTGAGACTCTCATGCCTGAGTCAGGCCCTTTGCCCAATGGCAGGGCTATGTGAACACTGCACATGTCCAGAAATACAATTCATGAAGGGACCCCAGTTCTAAATGAGGATAAACTGAAGCATTTCTCTGTATAAATTGTGGAAACTGGTTTTTCAGCATTCTGCCAGCCATGGGGAGAGACTGAGAGCTAAGCAGTTACAGCTCTGCACCCTGTCCGTTGACACTGGATATTCCTCACGTACTTGCAGGCAGTTCTTTGCTTCTTTTCATATGGAAAGCAGAGGTTTCCAAAAAGCTTCCAGTGCTGTCCTTTGTCTGGAATCCATGAGGTCCAGCTCTGAGGTCCCCCGTGTAAAACTTGCTTCTGGACTGAGTGAGCCCCTTCGTCCTCCCATCACAGGCTGCACCGCGTTTGGCTGGATGACCCTTCAGGGGAAGAAGAGTAACGGCACAGACCTGCACAGCAAGACCGCCTCCATGGTTGGCATCAGTCGGGAACACGCCAAAGTGTTCAACTACGGACGCATTTATGGGGCGGGGCAGCCCTTTGCTGAGCGCCTCCTCATGCAGTTCAACCATCGCCTGACGCAGCAGCAGGCCAGTGAGAAGGCACGCCAGATGTATGCCAGCACAAAGGGGATCAGGCGGTGAGGAAGGCAGTCTTGAAAATCACAGATTGACATGTTCTTGCTGCATGGCAATGTTTTGTGTTGTACGGAATATAGTAAGGGCTACCTTATTCTCAGTCAGACCAGAACTGATAGTCAGTGTTGCTTGGCATCATTTCCTCAGGGGGTTGAGGCAGTAGCCATCTCAGGCCTGTAACTTGAAATAATCATAACTGGAGATAGCAGAGATTCAATCTGTTGTTTTGCATATTGAAACTTTGCTTGAATAGAAGGCACATCTGCTGTTTGCTCCATAGACCAAGGAACATAATCTGCAAGGCCAGCTGCTCCTGGCAAAAGGACCTTAGAGGGTACCCCAAATGCCCCCTTCTTGTTCCACAGTGGGCACATTAGAGAGGGAAAGGAAGATCCATAGTGAGTTCTCTGTCTGAACGTTGCCGCTTTGCCACTGAACAGGTCTTTTCTAACTCTCTGGGCCCCAAGCCCCAAGACCATGACTGGCCCACCTGGTGGCACCAGCCAAAATTCTCATTCTCTGCTGACAGAGAAGAATTCTGGGAGTCCTTTCAAGTTTCAGAGTAGTCACCGTACTATAACAAGATGGGCTAAATGATCTCTGCCATGCATTGGAGCTGCTGCCCAGAATAGACAAACCTGGGGGACCCTGAGATTGCGAAATGCTTGGAACCGGGAGCTGCTGCCCAGAATAGACAAACCTGGATTGTGAAATGCTTGGAACCATTGCTCTGTCTGGGTGCCTCACTGAACTGCACTCAGTTGCTCTGGGAGTCTGCTTGTGGCCTGAACTACACTGCAGCTGCTCTGTCCGTGGCCTTGCCAGGCACTGGGCTTGCTTCTCTTTTTGTTTGCCTTCTGAAGCCTTCTTGTCCTCCTTTTCTTGCAGCTGCATCCTGTCTGAGGAAGGAGAGTGGCTGGTAAAAGAGCTGCGTATCCCTGTGAAACGGGAAGCAGATGGTTCTGTGTCCTTGCAAGACGTGCGACGGATACACAGGGAAGCGGGGAAGAGGTGAGAGAGGAAAGAGTTTGTTGGGGCAGATCATGCTTAAGCCATGGTGCTATAAGAATTAGTTCCTGTGCCAAGGTCACCAAAATGGTTTAATTCTGTTCATCACTGGAAGGGGCAGTGGGGCTCCATGGGACGGCAGCTCTCTCCCTCATGACTGCTGGAAATCTTAATTGGTCACCTTTGATTTCTGACACTTTTACCAGGCATTGCTTGAGTCATTAAGGCTAGAGACTTCTCAGAAAGCTGACATCTGTGCTTTTCCCTCCTCTGGTGTGGCATATACACAGCTTGGACTGTGGCCCTTACCCTTGGTTTTTAGATTTGGATTCAAAACAGACTATTGCAATGGCAGACACCCTGTTTCACAGTCTTCATCCCAAGGAAAATAAATGAATCCTGTGGGCCGCATTAGATGTTTGTTGCATTAGAAATCCTGGTTGCCACAAATAATCTGCAAAGCAGTGGAGAGAGGTACAGTTTGTAGCAGAGAAGGGGCAGGTGGTCTGGGGCTCTCCTGCCCAGGCTGTCGTGGTGGACATGCAGAGGAGACTGATGGGCACGTGAAGGATTAGAGGGGCCTCTTCTCCTGCCTGCCCTTCTCTGCTACAAACCATGCCCTGTGGCTTTGCAGCAGCTCCTGGACTGGATCTTTTGCCAAGCACCTACTAGTTTGATTCATGTTCTTTATATTCAGTGTAGGGGAGTTTTTTGTGGGTCCTCTGGGGTCCTCTGACCTCCAGCAGTGCCTCTTATGGGGGTCAGAAGGTACTGCATTCTGAACTATATACACCCTTGGAGCTTATAAAGCAGGCATGTTATAGGAATTAGAGCTGAATCTTCCTGCAAATTGAATCTTTGAAATGTGCCTTAATCTCTTTAGATGGGTTAAAAGTATCTTAGATAAACAAATGTTGCAGGTCTCGAAGGAAGAAGTGGGACGTGGTTCGCCAGCGAGTGTGGGCTGGTGGGACAGAGTCTGAAATGTTCAACAAACTGGAAAGCATTGCCAATTCGGAATCGCCTTGCACCCCAGTGCTGGGCTGCCACATCAGCAGAGCCTTGGAGCCAGCTGCTGTCAAGGGCGAGGTGAGAAAGAGCCTTTTTGATGCTGAATTCCACTTTTGCTGTAGTTTTGATGTACCCCAGCCCCTCACCCCTTTTGTTATGGTGGTGGTTGCCAGTTTGCTGATTGCCTCTATTTGTAATATTTGAAAGTGATAAAGGCCCTTGCCTGCTAATAGACAGCAGCCTATAACAAAATACTCAGCTGGAATTGTTCATAAGAAGGCCCATCCAGTCCAACACTCTGTATCACACAGTGGCCAGAAATACCAGTGCCATCAGGAGGTCCACCAGTGGGGCCAGGACATTAGAAGCCCTCCCACTGTTGACCTCCCCAAGCACCAAGAATACAGAGCATCACTTGCCCCAGAGACCCTATCTATACCTTGTGGCTAATAGCCACTGATGGACCTCTGCTCCATATGCTTATCCCATTCCCTTTTGAAGCCATCCATGCTGGTAGCTGCCACCACTTCCTGTGGCAGTGAATTCCATGTGTTAATCACTCTTTGGGTGAAGAAGTACTTCCTTTTATCCGTTCTAACCCGACCGCTCAGCAATTTCATGGAGTGCTCACGAGTTCTTGTATTGTGAGAAAGGGAGAAAAGTACCTCTTTCTCTACCTGCTCTATTCCATGCATAATCTTATAAACCTCAATCATGTCACCCTTCAGTTGTCGTTTCTCCAAGCTAAAGAGCACTATGCGCTTTAACCTTTCCTCATAGGGAAAGTGTTCCAACCCTTTTTTCATTCGAGTTGCCCTTTTCTGCACTTTCTCCAAAGCTATAATATCCTTTTTAAGGTGTGGTGACCAGAACTGCACACAGTATTCCAAATGAGGTTGCACCATTGATTTATATAGGGGGCATTATGATATTGGCTGATGTGTTTTCAATACCCTTCCTAATAATCCCCAGCATAGCATTTGCCTTCTTTATTGCAGTCACACACTGTCGTGACATCTACTGTAACTCTGCCAGTTCATACCCCATCAATGTGTATTTATATTTAGGATTTTTGGCTCCAATGTGCATCACCTTGCACTTGGCCACATTGAACCCCATTTGCCATGTTGACGCCCACTTGCCCATCTTTGACAGATCCCTTTGGAGTGCCTCACAATCCTCACTGGTTTTCACCACCCTGAACAACTCCATATCATCCGCAAATTTAGCCACTTCACTGCTTACTCCCAACTCCAAATCATTAATGAACAAGTTAAAAAGCAGTGGACCAAGTACTGATCCCTGTGGTACCCCACTGCTTACCACCCTCCACTGAGAAAATAGCCCATTTATACTCACTCTCTGTTTTCTATTAATTAGCCAGTTTTTGATCCATAAAAGGACTTTTATCCCATGATTTTTAAGCTTACTTAGGAGCCTTTCATGAGGAACTTTATCAAAAGCTTTATCAAAAGCAGTTCACTTTTCCTTTCTCCAGCTAGCTGTAAGCAGCAGCTCACGTTGCTGCTCTGCTACTTGCGTGTTGTGTGTCTCTCTCTGTACAGTACATGGTGACACTGTTTGTTTACTGTGTCCCTGGATACCCTGAATTCAGCGTTTTGCAGTGCAGTACTCTCTTCAATCACTTTGTGACCGAGAGAGAAAAAGACCTGCGGTTGTGGGGTAGTCCCTACACCAGTTTTGTAACTGTGGGGAAAGCATACTAGCCCTGTCATATCTGTGGGGATATGAGCTGCATCACAACATGGCTGTGGTATGGAGAAATCAGAAATCAGGTGGCAAAATGTATACGAAAGTTGTGTGATTCTTCATTTGTGATACAAGTGACTGATGCAGTGCATGTGGGCATCATGCTTGTGAAAGTGACATGAGCCAGTGACTTGTGCATCTTGCTTTGCAAGGTGGCTGTGTGTCATGTAGCCAGTTGTCTTGCCATCCAGTTGCCTCCCCTAGCTTTCCCAGTGTGTGAGGTCTCTGAGCAGTGCAATCCTTAGTCACCAGAAGCTCTGAACAGTTGCAGTTCTTGTGTGTATGAAGCTGTTTGTGTTAGTAATGGAAACCCAAAGCCATTTGGCTTTTGCCCTATTCTGCTATTGCTATTTTGTGTGGCTAAGATTCCAAAGCCTCATCCCACACATACCTGTTAATTTAAGGCCAGGTTTCCCTTTTCTCCCCTCACTGGGTGCTCCTAATGAACACATCCCTTAGTAACAATTGCTCCAACTATTGTTTAGTAGCCAGCCCACACGCAGCTGTTCAGTGGAGTGACTTTTTGTCAGACTCTTGAACAAAGTTACTCTCAACAACACTCTCTTGGCAGTGATTTGTTTATTGAGGAGTAAAGATGATTCAAGCTAAGACTTCTGTGTCAGAACTAAAGTTCTGGTGCCAAGGCCCCAGATTATACAGAGTTCAAACAAGCTCCCCCCCCCCCCGTCCAGTCCAATCGTAACCTGCATTTAGCCTGCCTAGAGTTCGTACGTTCCAGCCCCCACCTGCAAGTCTACTGTTTTATTATCTGTTGCTGCGGAGCAAGCACAGACAGCATCCTAGGTAATTGCTCAACATCCTTGGGAAGAGAGAAAAGAGTTACACAGCCACTACAACAGAGCCATTCTCACATGCATCCATTCACACGCATCCACTCACACATCCCCCTACGGAATTCCAGTTCCCGCTCGAGGCCCCTTAACAATGTAATTCATGGCAAACGAGACCATGATCAGGGGAGGGGGAGCTGCAGGATGAGGTGTCCATGTCGAGGATCCCAGATCCTTCTTCAGTAGACTGGGATGGAAAACAGGATGAATGTGGCATAAGTTCTTTGGCAAGTCCACCTCCACAGTCACTTTGTTAATGAGTCTCACAAACTTAAAAGGCCCCAGATATTTCCACTTCAACTTCTTCCCAGGTTGCAAACCCCTGAGGTTCTTTATGGAAGTGTACACCAAGTCCCCAAGGTGTAAGTCCCATTTGGGGACCCTGATGCGCACTCAGAAGTAGGAATCGTGTAAGTCCAATTTAGTAAAAATCTGGCCTTGAGAGGCCTCGGCCAGTAAGTCTTTGATGAGGGGGAGGGGGTAGGCATTCGACATGGATATTACATTTAGCCCTTGGTAGTCTGTGCACAGCCTCAAATCCCCATCCTTCTTGTTCCAGAACAGCACCGGGGCCGCAAACAGCGAAGCCGCTGGCTGGATGAACCCCCTAGCCAAGTTCTTATCAATGAACCTCCGCAACTCCTCCTTCTCTGCTGGGCTCATGGAATACAGTTTTCCCTTAAGCATTTTGTGCCCTCGCAATATCTCAGTTGCACAGTCAGTCTTGTGGTGAGGGGGCAGTTCGTCCGCCTCTCCCTCTTTGAAGACCCTAGCTAAGTCTCTGTACTTGGAAAGAATAAGATTCAGTTCTTCAGTTCACACACTCGGCCGCAGGCTGGGGCACTTCCCCCCATTCTGGGTTCCAGATGTGCTCCTTGCACCGGGGATCCAGGTTCTGGCACTCCATTGCACATATGGATCATGGGCTTGGAGCCACGGACTCCCCAGGACCATCAGGAAGTTTGCTGAGGGGTTTACTATGAATGACCGCAGTTCCCCATGGGAGGCCACCCCTACCGGCAAGTGAACTGTGCAGTATCTACAGACCTCCCCTTTCATCGGGGTACCGTCCATCTGGGAGAACACTAGTGGCTCCTTTTGCTTGTGCACCTTAGCTTCCAAACCTGTCACCAAAGCTGGGCTAATCAAGTCCTAGGTGCACCCAGAGTCAATAAAGACCCGTACTTTAATGTGGGTCCCTACCACTGGGTTGACCACCGTAACAGTCAGATAAAAAAGGGGGGAGGATGTTCTCATCTATTCTGGCGCTGGAGACTTTTGGACCTGCTGTTTAGCGCCCTTCACAGCAGGTCCCGACCTTGTCCTTCCGGCTGTGGTGGTTCCTCCTCACTGGACGAGGTGCCTTTGAGCTCTCCGCTCTCTTCCGACTGGAGAGCCTTAGTTGGCTTGGGGCGGTGACCAGAGGGCTTACTCTTCTTGTCCTTGTGGTCCTCTTTCTTTGCTCCACTAGGGCTCTTCTCATATGGGCAGGCAATGGCGAAGCGGCCCAGGGCTCCACGTCTTAAGTACAAGCCCTAGCAAATCCTCTGCTCTCAGTCGCTCCCGGATCCAGGAGCCCGGGTCCACACCTCACTGGGGTCCCTTGCAGGGGTTTTTGGGTGATACAGCCACAGTAGGTTGTATCGTTTCCCCGCCTTGCACACCACTTGGATCCAGCCATTTAGAGTCAGAGGATTGCATTGGGCTAAGGCTTTGTCAAGGATGGCGTGGTTGAGCCCAGCATGGTAAAACTCAATCTGCACTTCTTCAGGCCACCCCTGGAGCTTGGCGACGTGCATTTTAAACTTGACTGAGAATTCACAGACCGAGTGGTTCCCCTGTTTCAGGCCCCAGAGTCTGGTTCTTGCTTGCTCCAATTCTAGAGGGTCCTTTTATTGCCAACGTAAGGCCCGCGTGAAGGCATCCACATCGTGGAGCTCCAGGCCCCTGATGTTGTACAGCCCCACAAATCAGTCTGTTGCCTAATCCTGTAGCCATGTAGTACAAATGATGCTCATCCGAGGCGATGGTGTGTCACCATTCTCTCAAGAACTTCTGCACCTGTAACGCGAAGAATGCCAACTTCTCTGGAGTCCAGTTGAAAGTTGCTTCCAGTGCATCTCACGGCTGCTCACGACCTGGGACTGGTCCCTGCAGGGGTGCGAGGGGAGGTAGCAGTGGCAGGACTGGTGCCTGGTCAGGGGTTCCTCCTCGGGAACAGGTCCTGGTGGCGCTTCCTCCCCTCGGTCCTGCAGCTCCTGCTGCAGAATCTCCTGGATGACTGCCAGGAGTTCCTCCAGGATCAACATAGTTCCTTTAGCTCCCCTCGGAATTCCAGCCTGACCCGCTTGAGCCCTGTCTCCTCCATCATCACTCCGACTACCCGCAGTAGCTCAGGGTCATCGTGGAATGCTCTCGAGGCCCGTCTCCAGTCCAGCTCGGGTCAACTTCTCCACACCCGGGGCCCTGGGGTCAGCAACCAGTCAGGCTCGTCCCATCGCACTAGGCTTTGTCAAGCGTCCTTCAGCCTCACACCCCGCTCTAGCGGTGCGGCTCCTTTCACAGTCTTGATCTTAGCCTTCCTCTTGTCCTTAGGACCCAAGGGTTCATGGGTCAGGAGCTCATTCTGTGAGCCAGTTCCCTTTCCGAGTTCTTCACCCTCGTCGCCCATCATGGCAGTCGAAGAGAGAGTGAGTTCTGACACTATGTCAGACTCTTAAACAAAGTTACTCTCAACAACACTCTCTGGCAGTGATTTGTTTATTGAGGAGTAAAGATGATTCAAGCTAAGACTTCTGTGTCAGAACTAAAGTTCTGGTGCCAAGGCCCCAGATTATACAGAGTTCAAGCAAGCTCCCCCCGGTCCAGTCCAATCGTAGCCCGCATTTAGCCTGCCTAGAGTTCGCACGTTCCAGCCCCCACCTGCAAGTCTACTGTTTTATTATCTATTGCTGCAGAGCAAGCACAGACAGCACCCAAGGTCATTGCTCAACATCCCTGGGAAGGGAGAAAAGAGTTACACAGCCACTACAACAGAGCCATTCTCACAGGCATCCACTCACCCCCCCCTACGGAATTCCAGTTCCCATTCTAGGCCCCTTTACAATGCAATCCATGGCAAACGAGACACCAAGTTTGACGCTTTTACACTCTGTGCCCTGTGTGAGAGCCAGGTGGTGGACATGCTGGGTGTGACGGAAAGAGTCAAGTCTGTACCCTTTTCCAGTTCTGTCAGTCCCCCTTGTACCTTGGTGGTCTGGCAGAGAAATCCAGTGATGATGATCAAGGCCCACCGAGTCTTTCAGAGGGAGAAGGGGGGAGCAGACGGAAAAAGAGCCTTTAACTGCTATTTGAGTCAGAGAAGGTTGAGAGGTTCCTTAGGCAGGCAAGGGATCTTGCTCTGTCTTCAGTCACTTCAAGTAAAAGTCAGCTGTCTAGTGGTTGACAGTTCTCACATGTAGTGTTTCAAGATCATTTGGAAACTATGGGGGCAGGCAGAGGTCTGTGCATTTTAAAAGGCTCTAGTGAAGAATGTAAAAGGTTAGGAAACAGCTTTTAATATCCAAGCAAGTCTGACAGTTACTGGTATTATCTCTACTTTGATATCATATATCTAATTCTCAATAGTCCCCTCTCTGTGTGGATACTCATTTTTGCAAACAGAGGGCACACTCTCCCTCAAAAGGTTTTTCTATAGACTCAGGAGACTCCGTGGGTCTACAGAAAAATCCAAAACCCTTGGGGAGGGTTGAGTCCCCCCCAGTACCTTTTGAAATGGCCACTGCAGGGACCTACTCTAGGCTCTATTGCATCGACAGTGAGAGATACTGGTTGATAGCCAGAAAGAGAGAGGAAGAGGAGGAGATCGGATGTACACCCAGCCCTTAACCACCTGAAGGAGTTTCAGAGCGGCCTGCATTCTCCTTTCCCTTCCCCTCCCCACAACAGACACCCTGTCAGGTAGGTGGGGCTGAGAGAGCACTTTCAAGAACTGCTCATGAGAGAACAGCTGTGAAATAACTTGTAACTGACCCAAGGTCACACCAGCAGCTGCATGTGGAGAAGTGGGGAATCAAAACCAGTTCTCCCAGATTAGAGTCTGTGTTCCTAACCACTACACTGAGAGAGAGACACACACAGAGAGAGGGGAGGAAGCAAAAGCAGAACTGGAGCTGAGATTGGGGAAGATTCCTCCTGCAGTATGAATAGCTAAATAGCAGGAGGACGTTTTAAAAGACATCTGAGCTTCTCTTTTGCTGTGTGCTCCACTGTCCTCTTAAAACTTTCTCGGAGGAGGGGCTTCTAACTGGTTCTGTCAGTAAAGGGAAGGGACAGGGCCCTTTCCAGGCCTATTTTGGCCTTTCAGGGAGGGAACCTTAGGGCCAGGCCTGACAAGGGTTGCCAGTGCAAGCCTGGGAAATTTCTAGAGATTTTCTGGTGGAGTCTAAGGAGGGCTGGGTTTGGGGAAGGGAGAGGCCTCAGCTAGATATAATGCCACTGAGTCCGGCCTCCAAAGCAGCCATTTTCTCCAGAGAGACAGACCTCTGTTGTTTAGAGTTCAGTTGTAATTCTGGGGGATCTCCAGGTTTCACCTGGAGGTTGGCAGCCTTAGGCCTAGCAGCACCCTCTGGGTGACTTGATACCACCTGACTTGCATGACACTCAACTAGGCCTGGCTGCTTGCTACTGTTCAACAGCAGCCACCCTATGTAAGCCAGTGTGGTGTAGCAGTTACAGCCTCAAAATAAGGTCTGCAAGACCCAGGTTCAGATTCCCATCTTGCTGTGGAAGTTGACTGGGTGATTTTGGACCAGTCATCTACTTTTCAGCCTAACCAACCTCACAGGGTTGTTGTGCAGATAAAAAGGAGATAATAATGTAAGCTGTTTTGGTCCCCACTGTGGAGAAAGACTGTAATTTTCCTAGGTAGAGGCTGGGGGGAGTGGAGACGGAAAGCTGAAGGCAGAGAGGCAGATAAAGGTAGGTTGACAGTTGGATGGGAAGGAAATAGGGTTGCCAACTCCAAGTTGGGAAATTCCTGGACATTTGAGGGGTGGCGCCTGGGGAGGGTGTGATTTGAGGAGGGGAGGAACTTCAGACTGGTATAATGCCAAAGACTCCACCAAACCAGCCATTTCCTCCACGAGAACTTGCCATTGCCAGCCTCCAGGTGAGGGCTGGAAATCACCCAGAATTACAATTGCTGTGCAGGTGACAGAGATTAATTCCCCTGGATAAAATGGCTGCTTTGGAAGGTTGTGTCTATAGCTTTATATCCTGCTGAGGCTGCTTCCCTCCCCAAGTCTCATTGTCCCAAAACTCCACCCCCAAATCTCCAGGAATTTCCCAACCTGGAGGTGGCAGCCCTAAGGTGAATTGATCTCTGTAGCTGGGAAATTTGTTGTGATTCCCGGAGAGCTTGCACAGTTGCTGGGGGGTGGGGGGAGGAAGCAGGTGGGTGGCTGGGAACACCTACTGCTGCGTGGGGTGGGAGAGGAAGCAGGCAGAAGGCTGGGAGGGTGATGGAGACAGAAAGAGTGATGAGGTGGGGAGACAGAAAAACAAACAGAATGATGAGGGGGCAGAAAGAGAGGAAATAACATGCATGGGAGAGAGAGTAAGAAAAGAGGGGCAGAAGGGAGAAAAAGTGTGAGAGAGGTGGGGGGAGAAGGGAGGAAGCAAAGGTGTGAGGAATGGGATAACTGCCCTGCAAGTTTCTTGCAGGTCCCCACTTGTATATACGAATAGCCAACCCAGCCTGTTCTGCAGATACTTGTATCCATAGATCAGGACTTGGTGGAGAGAAAGGGGATGTTCCAAGTTTGCAGAAAAATCTGAAACCTTTAAGGGGGTGTGTTAGAAGCCCCAAACAGAAGAACGTTTGTCTCCACTTGCGCACACAATGCACTTGTGCTGCCAGCATCTGCTGGGGCATGTAGGGAGACAGGTGTGCAGGGAGCTGCCCAAGGCTGGGGGCGGGCGGGGAGATGGCTGTGCAGGGCCCTTACCTGCTGCCTGAGATCCTACAGCAGGAGGGCCTGTCAACAGCCCTGGCAAGGGTATGCGCTCAGAACTTCCCCAGAGACAGAAGGGTGGCCCAAGTAAACCCTTCAACAATCTGTCAAAGAAGCTACTTGAAGCCACCTCAGTCAGCCCCCTGGCTCAGCCAGTGTGTGTGTGGGACATCTGGAGGGAAAATTAGCTGGGTTGCCAGCAGGCAGGATGCAGTGATGGTGGGGAGAAAGAAAAAGAGAATAATGGAGGGGGGGAGTTATAGGGGTGGGGGAGGGAAAAAGAGAGGACTAATAGTAGGCATGATGGAGAGAGAATAGAAAGACACAAGTAAGAGAGAGGCATAAAGAAAGAGAAAGAATGGGAGGACAGAGAAAGAGTGAAACTGAGAAAAGGGGTGGTGAGACAGGGGACTAAGCAAAGGCAGGGAAATGGGATGGCTGCTGCCACAAGTTCCCTGCGGGTCCCCACTTGATTATTCTGTTATCTGTATCTCGATATATCTATCTCACAATAAGTTACATTTGTATAAAGATAGTACAAAACAGCCGTAGTTTACTTTCGCCCACTGTACAATAATCCTTTCTCGTCTTCTGTCCGATCGCTATTCTTCTCCGTGGTATTAAGGGCGCAAAAGGTTATAACGAGGTTTTACTAAGGCAGAATAGAGTGGTAGCTAGCTGGAAATAGTGCCAAGCACTAGCAGGCCAGTAAATCATGAGGACAGTGGCATGTGGCTGAGTGAGGGATCTTCCTGCCAAAAATATTGTAGTGCCTCAATTCATCAGGCCCAGTCATGGAGAAAATGTCACCTTTGGCATAGGCCCCTCAGCAGTGGGCAAAATGCATCTCTGTCTTGCACTTGCTTCCTTTGGATTAGTCAAACCCTTGTTTCTATCTGAAATACTTCAAACTGTCTGGAAAATAATAGATTTTGGTCTAAAATACCAACAAAGGTGTGCCCTGACTCCTTGATACAGGAGCTGTTAAGTATAGATGCTGTGTGACTGTTGTCTTTGATGGAACCTGTTCTGTTTCAAATTTGCATCCTTCTTTCCCATCTCTTTTCATGTGCTTTACTTTGAAAGTACTTTGACAGGATGCTCATTTGCTGACTCCCCAAATACCAGCTCTCATGTTGTGTTCCAGGTCTGTTAAAGTGCTGATCGAGATGTCCAGCAAGGAAACCCTGACCGTCATCTGTTCCAGCATGAATCCCCTTGATCATCTTTTGCAAATGGGAGTCTCCCTTGGAGTTCTGACTCTGTTTTGCTTTCTTGTAGTTTGTAACCAGTAGAGTGAACTGGGTGGTACAGAGCTCTGCTGTGGATTACCTCCACCTGATGCTGGTGGCCATGAAATGGCTCTGTGAGGAATTCAGCATCAACGGCCGCTTCTGCATCAGCATTCATGACGAAGTACGCTACCTAGTCCAGAGTGAAGACCGCTATCGGGCAGCCCTTGCCCTGCAGATCACCAACCTCCTCACACGGTAAGAGCTTGGCAGGAAGTTGGGGAAGTATTGAAATTTCTGTAGTGCAACAAATAAGAAACAGTCAGCTTGCCTGCTATGACGACCTCACACTCTTCCCATCCTCAGAGGCAGAATTTGCAGTGACAAAAAAGGCTAATGCGATCTTGGAGTGCATAACATCCAAATCACAAGATGTCATAGTCCCACTGTACACTGCATTGGTCAGTCTGCACGTGGAGTATTGTGTGCAGTTCTGGAGGCCTCACTTCAAAAAGAATGTGGACAGGATGGAGCGGGTGCAGAGGAGAGCGTTGAGGATGATCGTGGGCCTAAAGACCAAGCCCTATGAGGAAAGGCTGAGGGACTTGGGAATGTTCAGTCTGGAGAAGAGGAGGTGGAAGGGGGACATGACTGTTCTCTTGAAGTCTTTGAAGGGCTTAGAGGAGGGCAGGGAGCTGTTCCTGTTGGCAGGGCAGCAGAGGAGAGGACTCGTAATAATGGGTTTAAATTAAGGGCGGGAAGGTACCGGCTGGATATTAGGAAAAACGTTTTTACAGTAAGAGTTGTGCAGCAGTGGAATCGGCTGCCTGGGGAGGTGGTGAGTTCCCCCTCACTGGCAGTCTTTAAACAGCGGCTTGACAAACACTTGTCTTTTTTTAAAATATTTTTTTAAATTGAAGAACTATATTACTTACAACCAAAAAAGTACATAAATTGTATATAATATCATCTAATGTTTAAACTAAATTATATCAATTCAACTTATATGTCCTTACATTATATTTCTCGTTACATAAGCGGTGTTCTTTTTTCGTTCTTTCAAAATGATCATTAATTATGCATTGAAACATACATGATAATTATTGGCTTCCTAAATTCCAGCATCTTGTGTCTTCTGTTATAATCTGATAATGCAGTTGATTGACTAGTACGGTATACATTGGAGCCCAGAAAACCAGTAGGACTATAGAAGCTTGCAATGTAAGCCTTTTCCCCCACCCCATGACCTACAATATGAGAGCACATACCTGTCTGCTCCCCAGGCCTCCCAGCTCCCCAAACTTTATATACATCGAGCTAATAAATATGTAGCTTGCTATTGTGATAGAACATTACACAATTACATTACGTCAGGCTCTATTTCACCGTCCGCTTGCTGCTTTTAGCTGGAGTCGACTGTGTATGAGTCTTCCTTTTTGCAGCTCGAATTTCAGCTTGCTCTGATTGAGGCAAACCTAATGCAGATAACAAAGCTGATCCAGAAACAGAGTCATATGCAATATATTGAGTTTGCTGATATTCCACAAACATTTTACCTGACTGCAACCAATGGTATTTTATAACTGCTGCCTGGAGTTTAGAAGCAATAGGTTTTAAGTCTCTTTGAATCTTAAGCATTTCTGGGGGAAGGTCCGGAAATACAAGTATTTTGCTCCCTTGAAAATCCAAGCCGCTCTGCTGACGTGCAGATTTTCTTTTTAGTCCAATAGTCCGTTAGCTCCACCAGTATGTCTCTAGCAGAAGGGGCAGCCTGGGAAGCATCAGTTGTTTTACCTACTCTGTAGGCTCGCAGTATCAGTGGTGTCAACTCCCTCCTCTAATTTTAAAGAGGCGGCCAGCCATGCCATGCAAATGGAAAGGTCAGTTGTTGCTTCGGCATTTGATGAAAAAACACGGAATTTCAAGTTTTTGTCTCTTATACGAGACTCTGTCATTATTTTTTCTCTAGACCAACTGTCTTGAGAGGAGGTTCCAAGCTTTTTTTCCAGGGAGGTGACTTTCTTTAATGCTTCTTCTGCTTTTTGAGCAGTTTGCTTATATTGAGACTCCAATTCCTCCATGCGTTGGGCTAGAGGTGATATCATATCTATCATATCTTGCCTTAGCTCTTGACGTTGTCTCCCCAAAGCTTCTAATAAAAAGTTTGGTGTGAGGAGAGAGTCAGCAGTATTTGTATCACCATTGCCTGAAGAAGCTGAAGAGGTACTGACAAGTTCAGCTGATGCAAAAAAATTCCTTTAGCAAAGGAGCTCCCCAGGCATTCTTTTGCAAGCTTAGCCCTTAGAAGCTTTAGGTGGCATATTTTAGGTCAGATTTGTTTGAAAATAGTCAATTAGAGTTGATTTAAGAGCGAGAGGTCTGGGAGCAGCCGGTAATGGCTTCTGGTCAGCACGCGATCAAAGCCACACCCCCAGTCAGCTGTGGTGGATGCTCTAGGCTGATCCTGCATTGAATCACAGAATCACAGAGTTGGAAGGGGCCATACAGGCCACCTAGTCCAACTTGCTGCTAAATGCAGGATCAGCCTAGGGTATCCCTGACAAGTGCTTGTCCAGATGCTGCTTAAAGACTACCAGTGAGAGGAAGCATTCCCTATGCAGCATTCCCTCAATCCAGTAAGTTTGTCACTCGATCAAAGGAGGAAATGAGGTTGGTCCGGCAGGACCTGTTGGGGACATATCTGTGCTGACTTTCCTGAATCACCAGTTGTCCTTTAGATGCTTGCTGATTGATCCCTTTAAAATCTGCTCCAGTATCTTCCCTGGGACAGAGGTCAGACTGACTGGCCTGTACTTTCCTGGGTCATCCCTCCTCCCTTTTTTGAAAATTGGGATAACATCTGCCCTCCTCCAGTCTTGTGGCATGTCTCCCACCCTCCAAGAGGTCTGGAAGATGATGGCCAAAGGCTCTGCAAGCTCTCTAGAAAGTTCTTTGAGCATACCATCTGGCCTGGGGGATTTGTACTCATTCAAGGCAGCCAGGTGCTTCTCAACTATCTGTCCATGTGTCAGGTCCCCAGCCAAGACACTCCACACACACTATTGGCAGTGAAATGCTTTATTAGAGATACGCTTGCTGTAAGTACAAGAACTCCTGTAAGGACTGAAGAAAACTGAGGGAACATACAGGTAACCCTATCTAACCTAGCAAGGCGAAAGAGTCTCCAAGGTTGATCCCTTGAGAACGAACTCCCGGGGCACAACTTGAGAAACGGTTATAGCTACTACCCCCATGCACTCCCTCAACATAACCCCCCTCAGGAATTCCACCCTCCTTTCTGAAAAGACTTGGCCTCTTTTCAGCTTAGAATCCAAAATGGTGTCCACCTCCTGGTGGAGTTTGCCATCGATCAGGAGAGGTGGTGCAGCCCCAGAACTCTGTGCCGTAAAAAAGGTGGAGGACTGCCTTGTGAATAAATAATTTCACCACTGGATCTACAAGGAATCCACCTTTAGTATGATAAAATCTCAGAATTGCACCTATTATTTTTTGGTAGAAGCTTTAACAGTATCCAAATGTTTTTTCCAATTTAAGGTCACTCCCAAATATTTAAAAGAGCTGCATTGCTCAATAGCAATTCCATAAATACTCCAAGAGAACTTTCTGGGCTGTTTTCTAAAGACCATTACCTTGGTCTTGTTATATTAGTTTATATTAAAGTTTATATTAAGAGCCTCCTCTTTACAGTATTCACCAAGTTGGTGTAGCAGCCTTTTAAATCCAATTTGGGTAAGATAAATTAAAACTATGTCATCTGCATATAGTAAAATTGAGATCTTCTGATGACCAAACAAGGGAGCAGCAAACTCAGGTCCTGAGAGCCTATGAACTATATCATACTTCCCAAAGTCACAGAAGGTGGAAATTCTACAGAGCATGGTTGGTTAGAGCAGCTTCCTTGGCTGTTTTAGCAGAGGAAATATAATGGTTTCCGTGGAGAAATGAGCCACTGAAGTTAGAGTATGAACTTGGTACCTACATTTTTGTCATGAGAGTATAATGACCTAGTGCACTTGCCTCAATCTGGCCTTTTTAGCGGTAAAATACATACTTGGCACCCTGAGGGCAAAGGAAGTTCTTTCTCCACAAGTTCTCCTCCTTCCTTCTTTCTGCAGAACTTGGTGCAGTTAAATCAGTTTGACCTGAAACAGCAGACAGCATTCTTGGGTATGTCTCCTGTGGGCAGGGGCAGGTCTGCTAGGCTGTTGCTTTGATGTCCTGCTTGTGGGTTTCCTGGGAGCAACTGACTGGTTATTGTAGGAAACTAGATGCTGGACTAGATGGCCCTTCAGTATGATTCAAGCAGGGCTCTTCTCATTCTTTTTTTCTCGTTAAAGGATACCAGCTTTGTGTATCCATTGAAAATGCATTAGCAGACCTGCAGGCTTCTTAAAGGTAGTTACAGTAATCATGGGCTTGCTGCAAACTGCTTTCTTTAAAAGGAATTTTCCACTCAAGAACATGGTAGTAGTTAATGCCTGTACTGTTTTTAATCCCTGACATTTGTCAGAACACAAAGCTGGCCTGCCGTTGATGCATAGGAGTCTGCCATCTGTCCTAAGGAAGAACAACTCTAAATGATCAAGCACGTATGTTTCACTTTGCTTGCTTTCAGGTGCATGTTTGCCTATAAGTTGGGTCTGCAAGATCTGCCTCAGTCAGTGGCCTTCTTCAGTGCTGTAGATATTGATCGTTGCTTAAGGAAAGAGGCGGCCATGGATTGCATCACTCCCTCCAACCCAACTGGGATGGAACGGCGATATGGCATCCCCCCAGGTGAGTACCTACTGTTCTGTTACCCTTGATAAACTAGGTCCTATCTTCCCCATGCAACTAGTCCAGGATCTGTGTGTGTGTGTGAGTGTGTGAGTGAGAGAGAGAGAGAGAGACAAAGCACAAATATTCTGAGAGAGAGAGAGAGAGAGAAACACACAAAGCACAAATATTTCAGCTGCTCTAGTAAGACATGTTTAATTAACAGTAAACATTTGTAAGTCTTCTAGTTATCTTGTCCTCTTAAGGCCTGCTTGTAAATTATGCCCACCCAATGACTGTCCTCCTCTGCCCCAAGAAAGAACAGTCATCAAGATTAGCTGCAGTTGCTGAATTGTCACCATCTTCCCTGCCCTGGGCTTACACAGCCCTCTTGGCAACATCTGACTTTAACATCTCTCCCTGGTGGTGCTTGTTTCCCGACTGCTGACAATTCTTTACTGCAGCTTCATGTCATGTCAGAGCTCTGCAAGCTCTTCAGGATGAAATCTTGTCACACAAGCAGCAATTATGCTCAGCGCTTGACATAATTGCTTCTTTAACTGATGTGGATTAATGGGTGTTTAAACAACTTCCAACTAAGGCTTGTTAATTACTTACTGAGACACAACAGTGTGTGTGTCCTAATTATGACAGCTTGGGAAGAAAACCATAACAGGAACAGTTTGTGTATTTTAGTAAATTAGGCTCCCACATGATCTCTTTTAAACTAAGGCAAAATGCAGTTTTGAAAAAGGACAATCCATAGGTCCTGGCTTTGGGAACATCCTTCAGTGGGCCCCCTAAGAATTGTATCAGGAGCCTCTGAACAGAGCATGAGTACATATACAGAAGAAAATCTCTACCTGACTAAAAGCTCAGTTTTATGGCACAGAGAGAGTGGCACAAAGAACATCGGACATATTTAACACCCTCTGCCCTTTGTTTCAGGTGAGGCTCTGGATATATATCAACTTCTTAAAATAACCAAAGGCTCACTGGAGAAAGGAAAATAGGTTTTGAAACTTTAAAGACCTCGAATTCAGGGATCTTCCCAGAAGCAGTCGCTTGTGAAATGGCCCCTCTTGAGCAGCCTGGCCTGGACTTACTTCCCTGAGAGGAAATCATGAGAAGAGTGGGCTGGTGCTAGCAAGCTGTGGCTCCAATGGCAGGTATCTGATGCAATGCCCTGTGGGGGCAGTTCTTTCGCAGGCTTCCGTGAGACCAGCATTCAGGGAACTGTGTGAAGAGCAGGTTCCTTCTAAAAGACTGGCAGGACAGCACATGTTAAATAGGGGCATTCTTTGTCCACAAAACCTGGCTGGGCATAAATAGGTCAGCTCTTATTTCTTTCGTCTTCTCTTCCTTTTGGGCTCCTCCTGGCTGTCATTGGGCTGTGCTGATGCACTGCTCTAAAAGAAACAGGAACAAAGGCCTAAATAGAAAAGTCCTGGTGTGAACAGAGGTTGCTTCTCACCCACTCCCCCAGCCCCCAGTTCTGCAGGACAGTTTCTCTAGAGGGCTGAATTTCATGGAGATCCATGTTGCTCCTTCTGAAATAAGAAACAAATCCAGAAGCTTTGAAATTCAGCCCCCAAAGGAAACTGCCCCATGGAGTTGTGTGGCTGAGTACGAGTTCTGGCTTTAAAGAACCACCTTACCATTGTACTATTTAAACTTGGCAATTTTGAAATTCGGCGGTATACAGGTACTGTTGAGCAGCCAGCATTATTCTTGCCTCTAACCCCCACCTAATCCTTCTCCTTCGGGACTGAATTACAATTTTATTAGAGCAGGGAAAAGAACAGTGCTTGCCACTCACTGCCTAGTGACAGTTCCCCAATGGGGCTGAATTTCGAAGTTCCTGACAGTAAAGAACCACCTTTTCTGATGTGGAAATGGGCAAGGTCACTCTTTGAACCTTTAGATTCTCAACAGGGAAACTGCCCACTCTGGCCAGAAGGTATGCTCCTCTGCTCCCCAACCCAACGCCCTGGAGCTGAATTTCATCAGACATTTAGCAGTTAAAGAGCCACCTTGGTATCCCTGAAGGCTGGAGAGATCAAGGTAGCTCTTTAAATCCTGACACTCTGAAATTAAGGTCTGCAAAGAGGGAGCAGCAACAAAACAATGAGGATTGTTGCTAGGTTCTCTTGTTCCTCCTAAATAGCACAATTCATGGTCCATGCTGCAATTTCCCCACCCTTTCAGGAGCAACCCAAAGCACTTTGCAGCTTGCTGCCATTTGCACCCCAAGATTTCCAGCAAGTGCCCCTTGTTGCCTGCTGTGAGGAGGAAATCTCTTCCACCTCCTGTGCTGTTGCTTCTCAAACCTCAAGCCAGAGAGGGGGGAACTAAGCATTGTGAGGGCAAGGATTTAGCTGTTCATTCGTGTTCCTTGCTTGAATGTCCATGTGGTCTTCTTCAAGCCCTCCTGGCAGTCAGAAGGGGAAGGAATGGTTCCCCCCCCTCACACACCACCAGATGGCTGCAGTTCATATGCGAAAAGCTGTGGGGACACTTGTGTTATTACAACTCTGTTCAAATAACTTGTTTACACTAAGCTGGTTATTGTGTTAAAGTCTCTGTTTTCTTCATTTGGAAGAAAACTGAATAAACATTCCTAAAACAAAATGTCAGCCTGGCAGCAGCTTAATTCCAGTTAGCATGGAAATGGGATCACCGTGAGGGTCGGAAGGTGTGCACAAATTGCATGTTTTTTGGGTTTTTTATGGGTACAGACCTGGTCATCGTCCGACACATTTTCAGCATCCTGTTCTTCCAGGGCAGTCTCTAAGGTAGACACATTGATGCGGAAGTCTCTGGAAGTGCTCAGTTTCATGTACTGCATCAGGTTGACCTGTAGTAGGCAAAGAGATGGTGGTCAGAGTTTGTAATGGGTGCTAAAAAGACACAGTCACACACATATGCAATAGATTTATATTACCTTTGACTTTTTGGAGAGGTGGATCAGGAAATTCTCATATTGCTCAATGGCAAAAATCAAGTTTGGAATTGGTTTGGTCTCCCGCAGCACTTTGGCCTGTGGTGGAGAGAAGTTTTCAATAGATTTATTGAATGTATAAAATCTCAGAAAAAGTAACTGTATGGGACTATCAGGCATGAGCAAAGCATATATCATCACTATGGGAGGAGTTTAATACTGAGCTTTCTAACCTCAAGGGAGTATGGAAGCTAAAAGTTTCAGAGCTCAGAATTGATGGCTGTATGTCATTTCTACAACTATGACACACATAAGAACATAAGAGAAGCCAATGTTGGATGAGGCCATGCAGTCCAACACTCTGTCACACAGTGGCCAAAAATACCAGGTGCCATCAGGAGGTCCATCAGTGGGGCCAGGACACTAAAAGCCCTCCCACTGTTGCCCTTCCCAGCACCAAGAATACAGTGCATCACTTGCCCCAAACCGAGAGTTCCTATCTATACCTTGTGGCTAATAGCCACTGATGGACCTCTGCTCCAGATGTTTGTCTAATTCCCTCTTGAAGCTGTCCATGCTTGTAGCCGCTACCACCTTTGGTGGGAGTGAATTTCATGTGTTAATCAATCTTTGGGTGAAGAAGTACTTCCTTTTATCTGTTCTGCTCAGCCATTTCATTGAGTGCCTACGTGTTCTTGTACTGTGAGAAAGGGAGAAAAGTACTTCTTTCTCTACCTGCTCTATCCCATGCATAATCTTGTAAACTTTGATTATGTCACCCCTCAGTCGTCGTTTCTCCAAGCTAAAGAGCCCAAGTGTGTTAATCTTTCTTCGTAGGGAAAATATTCCAACCCTTTTATCCTTCGAGTTGCCCTTTTCTGCACTTTTTCCAATGCTATAAAATCTTTTTTGAGGTGTAGTGACCAGAACAGTACACAGTATTCCAAATGAGGTTGCACCATTGATTTATACAGGGGCATTATGATACTGGCTGATTTGTTTTCAGTTCCCTTCCTAATAATCCCTAGCATAGCATTGGCCTTTTTTATTGCAGTTGCACACTGTCTCGACATTTTCAGTGAGTTATCTACTACGCCTCGGTCAGTAAAAAAAATGGCTTTTGGTCTTCTTTCCTTCATTCTTGGACTTGTAGTTAGCTAGTTTTCAGTTAGTGTTAGTTAGGTACTTTGGACTTTATTTCTGCTTCGGCAGATTTTTCTGCCCCCCTCCCCCTGGTCTATGGCCAAATGGTGGGGCTTCTTTAAAAGGTGCAGGAAGTGTGGTAGAAAATCCCCCCCACACACACACTCCGTTTATTGTGCCTGGGGGAATTGCACCGAGTTGACTCTTGTGCCCACTGTGTGAAATTCTCTTGACAAACAACGAAGAATCAAGTGGCTAGACTTCGTGTGGCATTATTGTAAGTGGCCCTTTCGCCAATGGAGTTGTCACAAGAGACTTTGGGATTGACGGCCATACAGTCTCCGTCACCGGGCCATTTCGATGCGACCGATTGGTGCTGAAACGCTCGATCCCGGCTTCTCAGCCCGACACCCACATTCCCACGAAACTAGTTGGGAGGGCAAGGACGATCGGCCTGTCAAGCACAAGAAGAGCTCCTCTGGCAAATCCTCTTCCAAAGGGGTATCGCCGTCAGGAGCCACTTCACTTGACTCCTCAGGCCGTGGGCAGACACAGGGTGTTCCATCTCCACCCCCTCCTCGCCCAATTCAACTCACGGATTCGGAACAGGACATGGAGCTAACGCAGGTCTCCCGTTCTTCCAGTGTTGAAAGTCAACACTCAGAACGAGGAGCAGATGCTGGGACGCCGCCATCCCCACGTGGCCAAACTGATCGGGATCGATCACCCAGACACTTGCAGCCGCCTGCTTGGGACCAACGCCAGTGGCAATATTTGTATGGAGATCCACACGTTCACATTTGAGTTCTTTCAGAACTCTTGGATCTTTGCCATCTGGGCCTGGTGATTTATCAGTTTTTAAATTGTTTATCAGCTGTAGGACCTCCTCTCTCGTCATCTTAATCTGACTCAGGTCTTTCAACATCCCTCCCGAAATCAGCGGTTCTGGAGTGGGCAAGCACTTCTCATCTTCCACAGTGAAGACAGAGGCAAAAAATGCATCCAGCTTCTCAGCTATTTCCCTATCATCCTTCAGTACTCCTTTTACCGCTTGGTCACCCAAGGGCTCCACTGCCTCCCTGGCTGGTTTCCTGCTCCTAATGTATTTGAAGAAAGTTTTATTGTTGGTTTTTACGTTTTTTGCTATATGCTCCTCATATTCCCTTTTTGCCTGCCTGATCACAGACTTGCATTTTATTTGCCATAGCCTGTGTTCCCTTTTGTGAACCTCACTGAGACTAGCTTTCCATTGCTTAAAGGAATCCTTCTTACCTTTTACAGCTTCCATTACTTTGTTTGTTAACCATGCAAGCCTTTTTCTGTACCTATTTGTGCCTTTCCTAACCTGTGGTATATATTTTTTCTGAGCTTCTAGGATTGTAGTTTTAAATAGTCTCCAAACTTCCTCAGTCATTTTGACCCCTTCTACTTTTCCTTTCAGTTTCCTCCCCGCATGTCCCCTCATTTCAGAGAAGTTACCCCTTTTAAAGTTGAAAGTGGTTGTGTCGGTCTTTTTGGGCAACTCCCTATTTATTCAAATGTTGAACTCAATAACATTATGGTCACTGTTCCCAAGCGGTACAATCACTTTTACATCTCTCACCAGGTCTTGGGCGTTACTTAGGACCAAATCCAGAATCACTTCTCCCTTGGTAGGTTCTGTAACCATCTGCTCCATAGCACAGTCATTGAGAGTGTCTAGAAACTCAATCTCTTTTTTCCGACTTGAACACATATTGACCCAGTCAGCGTGTGGGTAGTTAAAATCACCTATTACAACACAGTTATTTCATCTAGCCGCTATCTTTAATTCATTCATCATTTTATAATCCTCCTGTATCTTTTGATCTGGCGGGCGATAACAAACTCCCAGTGTTAAACTTCCTTTTGGGCCCACTATTTCAACCCACAGCATTTCCAGAAGCAAACCCAATTCTCTTACCCTCTCAGTCTTACTGAACAAAAGCTCTTTGGAGCGACACTCACCTTAAGAACAGTTCTTCAACATGGTATGGGTATAAATTATGAGGTATCCTCAACCTATTAGATTGGGGGGGGGGGGGGAGAGCTCTTCCCAGGAAATATTCTCCTAGTGCCATAGCAGGGGAAGTAGTTCTAGACTAGAGTTCTTTCTGATAACTGACTCTTTTATGTGGGCATCCGCCTGAGTCTGACATGGGTAACGGTTAACACATACCTCTCCACAGGATAAAACATGTGTTTCAACTCTCACAGTTCATACCAATGGAAGCTCTCTGGGTGACCTTAGATATATAATTGGATCCTGAAGTTATTTAGAAGTTCTGTTCTTTCTTAGACTTCAAAGGCAAAATCGATACTAAACTGTCTTAAAGGCTTGCTACACAAGCCTTTCAGCACATTAAGAGGAACTGTACACAGAGAATAGATCCACGTGGGCAGCCATATTGGTCTGAAGCAATATAACGGAGTTTGAATCCAGTGGTACTTTTAAGACCAACTAAGTTTTAATCAAGGTATGAGCTTTTGAGTGCACACACACTTCCTCAGATACATTGTACTGGAAGTTAACAGTTCATATAATACAGAATTTGAACAGCAAATTAGCATGCAACATAATGAAGATGTTTTAACAGATGCAAAGACCTAACAAGAAAAACAAGTTTTCATGGTCACCATTTGTTTGAGTTTCATTACGGAAAAAACACATAAATATCTAAATAGGAGACTGATGTTGTAAACGTATCCTTCTTAATTGTGGGATGGATAATGCTCTGCTTCATTCCCATCTAGACCTTGTCTGCCTGATCATTCAGACCTCTGCCAAATCCAGTGCCAGCCTCCCCAACTGAACACTTGTAAGTCACCATCACTCCCTCCCAAGTATTATGGTCTCTTTCTTGAATATTATTTACATGTAGGTGGGCAGCCATGTTGCTATGAAGCCGTAGAATAATACAATGAAAATTTTAATGTATTTCTCTGATCTGGCGAACCATTCACCCCACGTCCAATTAGTTACCTCCATGCTTGAGAGGATTAATGTAGTGTAAGAACAGGGTCTCAGTTAATTGATCTTAGCATTCCACAATTATTAAGGATATGTTTACAACATCAGTCTCCTATTTAGACATATTTATGTATTTTCCCCATAACTAAATCCAAATAAATGATGACCATATAAACTTAGCTTGTTATTCTTGTAAGGTCTTTGCATATGTTAAAACATCTTCATTATGTTGCATGCTGATTTGCTGTTCAACCTCTGTGTATATGTATGAACTGTTAACTTCCATTCCAATGTATCTGAGGAAGTGTGCATGCACATGAGAGCTCATACCTTGAATAAGACTTTGTTGCACACAGAGCAATAGGTGTGAGGGACACAGGGTGCAGTTCTGGATGAGCAGACCTAGAAGGGGTTGCCATGGCCTGTTTTTCTGAATAGTACTTCAGTGAGGGGCCAAGGGGTCCCTGCTTGCATCCAATATATTCCAAAAAAGGGAGAAGGCAATTGCACTCACCATGACAGTGGACCCCTCCGCTGTCAACTTGTCCTTTTTCTTCTTTTTCTTTTCTTCTGAAACAATTGAAGTTTCACTCTGGACAGCAAGAATGAAGAGAAACCGTCAGTCTGCTGCTGAGAAAGGAGGGGATCTTGGGCCGTAGGGTGCTTGGGGGTGGGGCATCCAGCCAGTCTGACTAGGATCCGAGAGACCCAGGTTAGAATCCCTGCACTGCCATGGGAGCTCACTTGGTGCCCATCTCATAAGTAGTTGCTGGCTGTGAGGGTAAAACTGAGGAGGGGAGCATTCCTGTTGACAGCTGTGTTGGGTCCCCACTGGGGCATAAACATCTAAATAAACAAATATGAGTTGTTTATTGAAAATCAGAGGGGGCAAAGTGTTAAGTGGATTGTGAACCATTCATGAAAAGCAGGCCTGGGCCTTTGGGTAGCACTGTGGGCATGTGGCCTTCCATGGATCCCACTCCTGCCCTTCCACTGTCCCTCACAACATCCACATCCCTCATTCTGAAGAAGAAACAGCCCTTTGGGCTCTACTCCATTCTGCAGAGCTCCCCTGAACCTCCGTCACAGCAGCCCCCCCTTGTGGGCTTGTTATGTTACGTGCTGCTTCTTTAACCTGAATGTGGCAGGACCACCTAACTGGCCGCCGTCCCCATAGTTCAAGTTACTACAGAGAGTCCACTGTGACAATAGAAATAAGAAACATAAAGTGCTCTAATACTTCATCACAGATTAAAATTTAGATTTTATATACAGCATTTAAAATTTTTCCAAATATATTAATTTTTAATAATGTAAAATTAAATATTAACCAAACCAGCAACATCAAATCATGTGTAGTAACAGCAGCAATCACAGAAGAGCTGGTATAAGAAGACTGGAGCACTAAAAACCATACGAAGAAAACAGACCATGATGAATAGTGTGTCTGGTGTAGTACCATGAGACTTGTATTTCCAAAAGAGGCTATGTATGAACAAAAAAATAGAAGGTTAAAGCCTAACATGGCTACCCTACCAGATAAGTGTGGATTAACTATGCATAAAACTGTTTTCTGAAATTTGTTGCCTGTACAAAACATGTTGCTGCTCCTATAATGATTGTATTTAATATTCTTATCGGGGGGGAGATCTTGAGGAGCAATAGTGGTTAAGTGTGCGGACTCTAATCTGGGAGAACTGGGTTTGATTCCCCACTCCTCCACTTGCACCTGGCTGGATGACCTTGGGCAAGCCGTGGTTCTGATAAGAGCTGTTCTTGAAAAACAGCAGTTTCTGTCAGAGCCCTCTCAGGCCCACCTACCTCACAGGGTGTCTGCTGTGGGAAGGGGAGGGGAAGGGAAAGGAGTTTGTAAGCTGCTCTGAGACACCTTTGGGTAGTGAAGGGCGGGGTATAAATCCAATCTCTTCTCTTTTTCAACAAAAAGCAAAATAAACCTTAGCATGACATAAAGCTCTTCAGTTTATGTGCCACTGCATATAATGGCAACCTTTTGTAGTGTTATTGTTGCTTTTTGCAGCAGGAAACTCTGTTTTTTACAACACTTAAAGGTCAAACCAAGGACTGGATCTAGACAGTTCTTCTGCTGGTGAAAAAGGCTATGCTTTTGGGATTTGGGATGGGGGCTGTAGTAAGGAGGGAAGCTTGGTGAGACTGAGTGGAAAAGTTGTGTGGTTCCAACTGTACGTGAGATGCTGGGCGATCCACAACCAGGCCTGGCATACATTTTCTTTTCATAACCAGCAGAAGCAAGGAGCCCCCCCCCCCCCAAGTACAGAGTTTGTACTTTGATATCAAAAAGTACTTTTTATTAAGATATTCATACCCTGCTTTTCTCATTCTTCCTTCATTTTATCCTCACAACAACCCTATGAGGTAGGTGTGACTGGCCCAACAGCACTCAGAAAGCTGTCATAGAGTTTGAAGGTACCTCCAGGGTCATCTAGTCCAACTCCCTGCACAGTGCAGGAAATTCACAACTACCTCCTTCCCCACACCCCCAGTGACATGTCCAGAAGATGGCAACAAAACAAAAACCTTCCAGGATCCCCGGGCAAACTGGCCTGGAGAAAATTGCTTCCTGACCCCAAAGTGGCAGTCAGCATTTCCCTGGGCATGTAGGAAAGGGCCACAAGAACTAAGCACTGAGGCATCCCACCCCTGCCCTCCCTCTCAGGATCTGCCTAAGTTCACGGAATCAGCACTGCTGTCAGATGGCCATCTAGCCTCTGCTTGAAAACCTCCAAAGGAGAGCCCACCACCTCCCAAGGAAGCCTGTTCCACTGAGGAACTGCTCTGTCAGGAAGTTCCTCCTAATGTTTAGCTGAAAACTCTTTTGATTTAATTTCAACCCGTTGGTTCTGGTCTGGGCAACAGAAAAGAACTCTGGACCCTCCTCTATATGACAGCCCTTCAAGTACTTGAAGATGGTTATGATATCACCTCTCAGTCATCTCCTCTCAAGGCTAAATATACCCAGCTCCTTCAGCCTTTCCTCATAGGACTTGGTCTCCAGACCCCTCACCATCTTTGATGCCCTCCTCTGAACATGTTCCAGCTTGTCTATATCTTTCTTAAATTGTGGTGCCCAAAACTGAACACCATACTCTACCTTGGTACTCTGCTCTGGTTAGGCTTCACCTAGATTGGGGAGCTGAACCCAGGACTCACAACACAGAGACAGAATTAACCGTAATAAGCTTGATCACTGAAGAGAATAGTGCTGTATACTCTGGATACAAGCTTGGTCAAGTGCAGCACTTGGCCATCCACCAGGGAGGTTCAACAACAAAAGCAACTGCCATTTTTTGGCCTGACAGGAAATTCAGGTCTCGGCCTTACCTGTACGTATGTGATGAAAGCGTAGCACTGTGGAGTTAAATGGGAACCTGAGAGCCTGACCTGGGGAGGGGGGGGAAACACTGTTAAGCCAACAATTTCCTTCCAGCTTCATGAAAGATATAAGCCCCTATTGGTATCAGGTGCTATACAAGACTAATAACACTCACCAGCTTTTCCAGCCGCCCTGGAATCCCCCCACTTGTGCTGCGGCACACTTGGAGATACTAGGATAGCAAGGTAAGAGACAGTGCATGAGCCACAGGTAGCCCGTGCCCTCCCACTGGATTCCTCCGCCTAGGTAGGCTTCCTGGGCCATGTCAATCCTAGCTATCAGAAACAAACAGCTCAGTTCCGTCCAATGCTCCCTCTAAGCTGTGGCGTCTTGTGAGCAGAAATTCTACTTTGTGAGCTACTGGCATTAAAGTTGTGAGCAAACGATTTGTCTACTGCCCAAATTAGTTTGCTCTGGAGCTGTCCTTCCTGAGCTAAGACAAAAATGTGTGAGCCAGAGGCTAAAAAACTGAGAGCTAGCTCACACTAACAGCTTAGAGGGAACACTGGTTCCATCCACCAAAGCAAGATTGCTCATCTCAAGCAAGGATTTTGCAGCAGCAATTCAATCTGTATTGCTGCTGGTGGGCTATAGCTCCCAGGCATCCAGGGCTTTTAACAACATGATTATTTATTTTTGTTTGTTTATTTATTTATTCATTCATTCAATTTATACCCCACCCTCCCCGGCAAGGGCTGTGCTGATTGTGTTGTTGTTGGAAGAGGCTTTTAACTTCTTGGTAAGCCTCTCCAAGAACCTAGTTCGCTACATTCAGGTGTAAATATTTGCAGCCTTGCTGGCAGTCCGGAACCAAGAGCAGCCCAGCCTGGGCCGAGGGGGAAGCAGAGGATCAGATCTCAGCACTGCCCAAGCTAAGAGCACTCACGTATTTGATGAGGGAGGTGAGGATGGTGTACATCTTGCAGACACTCCTGAGCAAGGCGTCCACGCAGCTCCCAGCTGGCAAAGCTGTTTGCACCAGCTCATGGTAGGAGGTCAGTAAAGTCCCCAGCTGAAGGATGATTGCCTTTTCCAGCAGCTGTGCTGCACTGGCTACTTGGGAAGTATCTTCTTTACAACAACAAAAAGCACAGTCTAACATGGAATAACCTCACGGAATTGATACACAGACAAAAGGAGGTGTCTCAACAAAATAGTTCCCCATCCCCAGATCTGAAGGACCTATGCAGTCCTATCACAAGAACTGAAGGGACAAAGCTGCTGTTAAAGGTGTGTGGAGGGGGGCTGAGCAGCAGCAGCAGGGACAGGGAGCTGCATGCAGAATGCAAGAGAAAGAGGGAAGGGTTTGTACAGGACTCTGGGTCAGTTCAAGGCCAACAGCCACAGGAAATGAGAACCAGGAGTGAGAACTCTTCACGACCCCCATCAAACACATGGGGGGGGTCACTCTTCTTCCAGTCAACAATCACCATTAACACACCACCTTCTGAGAGCTAAAAATGCTTCCTGTGCAGTATGTCAGATCTTTGTATAGGAAAGAGTCACATACAACACACACTTGACCTTAGCCAAAAGGCCGAGAAGCGAAGAGTCACATACGACTCACGAGAAGCTCTCCAGACCTTCACCTCTGTCTGGCAAGATGTCTTCATCCCTCTGAGGAGTGATGCTGCTCCGCTTCTCATTTAGCTAGAGCTCTAGTGCTGCCTCTCACAGCCACCCCCATTCTCACCCCCCCCCCTGCTATTTTGTTTACACTCTCAGCTGCCTTTGTGTGCAGCTCTTTCTCCCGGTTTCCTTACTTCTCTTGCTGATGGGCTATGTTGAGAAAAGGGGTGGGTGGCAGAGTTACATGGGGTCTGTTTGTTTGATTTACTATCCGAGACAGAAAACAATTAAAATCTGGGGGGGGGGGAGGTTTCATGTGTGATTTACTTCAGCAATGCTTACAACCCTGTCTCAGCTTCAGCCCCACAGTGTAGTGCACCAATGAGGTGACATTTGAATTAGGGACTCCGCTATGTCAGCAGCAGCAGCAGCAGCATCTCAGTTTGTGGGGCCATTTAGAACTGATAATGATCAAAGCCAATAGGGCAACCACTTTTGTCCTCCTGGCATTTTGGGTTTCTTTCCATTAAATTTAAATGTGCCTATAGGATCCCATCCTGTTGTCCCCCATACCCAGTGGCAAGATGACTCAGCTGAGCCATCGGTTTGTCTTTTAATCTCGTTACACTCAGGGAAGCTCAAAGGAGAGAGGGCTTTATCAAAGGCAAACTGCCAGGGCAGAGATTCCCTTTAATGATAACCTCTGTGCTCTACACAAGGCAAGCCGCCCCGTCAGACTAGCGCACACCCTTCATGGTTCAACTGCTCCTCTTTCCCCAGTTTTACCTGCTGCCTCCGTCCCCAAATGGCTCTTCATTTTATTCATCAACCAGTCCACCTCTTCAAGGATCTTCTCTGCTTGGCCCAAAACAAGCAGCTAAGAAAAAGAAGGGCAGAAGAGGCAGAAGAGGCTTTTGTGAATAGCTTGATCAGAGGGATCCTCTTGATGTGACCGCCTTTGTACACACTTCAACTCACACAAGCTGTAGGAGCTGCTGTCTTGGTGTTCACAACTGCAAAGTGGGGCTGGTGCTCCACCTCAAGATCCTGTGGGGATTGACAAGCAGACAGTCACTCAGGAGCAGAAAGAGCTTCCTTGCGGGCAGAGCAGAGGCGTGCACTGTCAACAGAATGGAGGCAGAGTCTGAACAGTCACACTGGTTCCCCCTCTCACCTGGTCTATGTCCCCAAGCTGAGCATGGATATCCTGGGCCAGCTCACACAATATGCTGACAGGGCTCTTGATGAGAGCATGCAGACTGAAGAGCAGGGTGAGCAGCCCTCTGCAGCAAGGAGCATCTTCTGTTGGGAGAGGAAGCATTTGGCAAACTTTGGAGGCTTAAAGACAGCTCTCCAGAGCCCAACCAATGGCCAGGCAAGACAGGTAGGATTCTGTCTGCTCTACAAACAACGATGAGCTTACTGGAAGTGGCCTGCAGGCTCGTGTGTTCCTGCCCTCTCATACAAATCTCCCCCCCCTCTTTTCCAGTTTTAGAGCCAATCCTCTTTAGACTAAGGACAAGTCTATTCCAGTGTTTTTGAGAACAATAGCTAACCCAAACCATAGTTTCCAAGCTGTGGTTTGACACTGGATTGCCAAATTATAGTGGTATATAATCCCATGTAAATAAATAAATAAATAAATAAATAAATCTTACCCAGGCTGGTTTCCTTGCAGATCTTGACTGTCCAAGATAAAAGCTGCACATACTGCACGCCCCCCAAAAAAGAGACACAGAGAGAGAGAGATGTAATCACTTACAAAAATGCTATTGTAAGCTGTGTTGAGGATAAGGTTTCAAAATTTGGGTTGAAAGGCAGGGAAGACATATAAAAGTCAATAAAGGAATTAGATGAGCCTGTATTAAAAGCTAAAAGCTGATAGATCAGACCAAGGGCTTGTTACATGTGCTGGCTGGCTGAAATGGCCCTGCGACAATTGTAGCCTGTACAGCAAGGCTCCCTGATGCAGCTGATCTTAGGATCCAGCTGCCAAACTGAGGCAGTGACATTGGCTTGTAAATCACAGACCAGTTCTGACAGCTGGCTTTAAATGGGTATTATGAAGAAACTAGGCAAAAGGCCCGTTGTGGAAATAAATACAATGGCCTCTAGAAAGAGGCTCTGGGCGGGTGCCCCGGCCTTGGACACTCAGTGTCAATTTGCTGTGGCGACCTCATCAGGGTATAATGACACTGAGTCCACCATTTTCTCCAGAGGAAATGATCTCTTCTACCTAAAGAACAGTTGTAATTTTGAGTGTTCTCCAGCCCTCACTTGGAGATTGGCAACGATGGTTCCCCAGAAGGGAATCGTCGGTTTGGAGGGCAGAGTCTGTGGCTTTGTACCTGTCCGAGGTCCCAAGCCTCCTGAAACCTCACCCTCTCCAGGCTCCATCCCTCACATCTCCAGGAATTTCCCACCTGGAGTTGGCAACCATTTCTTCCCAGCCAATCATCAACCTACCTTTATTCCCCCTCACTCTTCAGCTTTCCACCCCCCACACACCTGCAGCCTCTCCCGTGCTCTGAAGCCCTGACTGCCACGTCACATTGGCTGTCATACGGTGGCCACCTCAGCAGCATATAAGGATACAGAGACCACCATTTTCTCCAGGGGAACTGATCTCTGCCATCTGGAAAGCAGTTGTAATTCTGAGTGATCCCCAGCCCTCACCTGGAGATTGGACACATTTTACCTCAGAAGAGCAAACTGTTTAGAATGTTAGAGGCAAAAGCCAATCAAGTCCCATATGCAAACGACCTCTGTGTTCCGAGGCAAAGCCCAATAAGGCTGCATGTGCAAATAACCTCTGTGTTCTGACTGGCTAGGGGGGGGGGGAGACAGCAAACTGTTTAGAATGTTGGGAGGCGAGACTCAAGCAATGCAGCCAGTGGATAGGGACAGATTCTGAGTGACACACCAGGGCACCAACCAGTTCCGGAGCGTGTGGAATGTTCTAGAGAAGGGCCACCACCATTCAGTTTTATATATAAGGGAGACGCCTTTTTTCCTAGGAGGTTTGAAATGAGCCAAAACACCAGTTTTTTCCCTCTCTGGGCAGAGAACAGGCTGGGAATGAGGAAGTCAGTGCAGTTGCTTGCCACCTTACTCTCATACAAATGCTAAATAGATCTAGCAGGAGAGATAATGGGTGGGTCAAGCTCTTCCCCTTCCCCAAGCAGGAGACAGAGAGTTGGTACATGCTAAGAGAGTCTTTGGGAAGGAGATTCCTGGAAATCACCAGGAAAAGCCTCTTTGGCTTGGCATGACCGGGTCAGTGGGTAGCGAAATAGATACAATAAAAACTCCTTGCCACAGGAAGGAGGTATTTTTTCCTTGAGTTCTATACAACGGTCAGGTGGTGGTGGCACATTACTGGAGTGAGCGAAAAGCCCCTCCAGGTATTGAGAAAAACTCAGGGCAGGGCGGAAACACGGCCTGCAGGCCAGAGCAGGCACGCACTGCCACAGGTATACACACAAATATTCCATCCAAAAGCATAGCCACAGTGCACACTTAAAAGGGGTTGAGGTCCCTGAGAACCTTGGGAATCAGTAGGTTTGTGAATGGAGATTTTTAGAATTTAGAATTTTTAGCACTTCACCAAACCACAATTCCCAGGATTCTTCTGGGGAAAAGCTGTCAGTTAAAGTGGTATAAAACCAAACCTACAGCACAGATAAGACCCAGATGTACTCCTATCAGTTTCTCTATGCATGATTCCATGAGCATCATACATCCAGGAAATGCATCTTCAGTTCACAGGATATTTATGAACGCGGGGTTGGATCCAGACTGAATCTTCCAATGGCCAGAAAGGAACTGTCCAGCCTCCCTTTTCACACTGCGGCCAACCAATCTCCACGAAATGCTGCCCCTGGGGGACGGGATCTAGCGGGATAACATGAGGGGAGTCTGCAGCTGGAAGTGGAGATTGGTGGAAATTTCCAGTGTAGTCTGGATCGAAGCCAGGATATCAAAACAGTACAGATGGTCTTTTCAGAAAAAGCATTTTCATGTTCATATGTTCTCGCAGTCATTCCAGAAACCACTTTTAACTGATCATTTTAAAGGAATTCATGTCATGAAATCTTAGTGAAAAAACTTATATACCATCTCACAGGGGTGGAAACCAGTCAGAGGGTCGAAAATACTGATTTTACTGACCAAAATTCCAGAAAAACTGACCAAATACTGACAAAAAACTGACAAATTACTGAACAATTTAATGTCAGCCTACTGATAAGCTAGCGTTTTAAATGTAAAACTAGGACTTCATTAAAAATTATTATTGTCTGGCCTCCACTATCCCCATAGCCAGCCCCATAGTTAGATGTGACCCAGATAAAAGGATTGCACACTTTTTTATTGAACTGTTTTATGAATAGAGGACAACATTTTCATTATTGTACAAAATTTAAGGCAAAAAAAGATTCCCTTTAAAAATAATCACATACTGCAGATAATAAAACAGCAAAAACATATTAAAAATCAAACATAAAGTAATAATTATGACAACCAAACATAATTACTGTAAGGTAAGATTGTCTTTGCTTTTACTTTATCTTTGGTTTTTTGAGGAAAAAAAGAACTGGCCCGAGCTCTGCCATCCCTGGTGGAGGCCGTGTTGGGCTGGGCACTGGAACACCGTAGACTGATTGGCATCTGGATCGGGGTGGATTGGCAGTGATGTTGCTGTTGGACCTGTTGGTGGCGTTTGACACAGGCAACCATCAGTTACTGATCCACCGCCTCGCCGACACTGGAGTCCAGGGGCCTGCCTTGCAATGGCTGGCTTCCTTCCTTCAG